ATAGGATCGAGTTGGTATCACTGAGACTGCCGCTTTCTTTCAAGTATGGAAGAAGCATTTGGCTTACTGCCTCAACGACATCCCGATTTTTACGACTTAGGGGTATCCTCGGGATTTTCGCCCTCTCCTCAAGTGGAAGCTCACGAAATTCGAGAATTGCCTCTTCAAGTATCCCCCTGATCTGCTCTAAATTCTGGGCGGTTGCGTCGTCTACCCTTCCCGTTTCAGCAGGAGCAGGACTGGCCACTGTAGCATTGGGGTCGCATATGGTGCTGCGCGCAATGCTACTCCGCCTTCTGCTACCGGGACTCATAAACGACACAACCTCGAGTCGTAGTTGACCGAGTTCTGCTGGAGTAAAGATTTCTCTCCGAAGAATAAAGCGAACTCGATCTGCCAAATTTTGCGCCGTAACGGACAGCGAAGGCTCCAGGACACGAAACGGGGCAAGCAATCTTGCCCGATAACCCGTTCCGCCGACACCCGTCCCTGTCGCCCTGTAGTACGCGCGCATAATGTTTTCGTTTTGTGGAGTAGTCCACCTCATGCGGCGTACTCCACCAGAGGCGGAGACCGATTGTTGGGCCTGTGCAGACCCTGGCGGACCCAAGCTGGTGGTGATGGTGGAGTGGGCCGGCGAGATGGTCGTGCCGGCGCTCGGGGTTGGCTGGCTCGCATTCTGCTCGACCCGGCGCCAGCTCCGGGTGAGCCCTGGCGACCCCCAGGCAGCGGCCCTATACGCGCTTTATTTATTATTATTATTTTAACTATATCATTTTGAGTTAGAGATATCACAGTTGAAATATGTAAGGCACACGTCAGATAATGCCTAATCGTAGTCCTAGAAGTGCATACTTTCACTTAATACTTCAAACTTGCTCCATATCTGATATATTATTTTTATTGACTGTAAGAAATAAAATCATTTTTTATGAACCAATGAATTTTTAAGATTGCTTTCAATAACTCTACTTTTCTACCTTACACTATAACTTATATAAAATAGTAGTGAAAATACTAATTTCAAAAGGATATAATAAAACAACATGTTGATTTTTCTTTTCTTTATTACAACTCTAATGAATACCTCATCACAGAATGCTGCAGGAGCAGCTACATTCTGTTTGTGTCTGGCCCATCCAAGATACCAAACTATAGTCATTATATGAGCACAGCATCCCAGTGTACATCGACCAATAAGACAATTACAGCAGTGTTCTCTTATGCCATCTAACCCGAATGTGTCATTATTTTTTTAAATGTACACATAATATTATTGTACTCGACTTAATTCTACCCCTTATAATTTATTTATATTTAAGTCTAATTCTAATAAATCCAGAGAATCCGGTATTTCTCTCCAGACTTCAATTCTATACTGCCCATGGTACCTAGTATGCTCCCCATAATACAGAAGATAATACAAAATCACCGCCAAAGTTACAAAACGGTCTGCGTAGAAACACGTCTACACATACTTGTCTAAAAAAGGGAGGTCGCAATCGATTGAATACTGTAATATCGATTCTTTTAAATAATCATTTGTTTTTAATTTCATTATAATTAAACTATTTACCTCTAAGTAACATCTAATTATATTAGTAATCTAATCTAAGTTTTATAATTTTCACGGATTTATATGGTTAGGCAATAATATAAGATTTGTATCAAATTCGATTAGTCAGACATAAAATCGATCTTGATCTTTGAAAAGAGAGGGACTTCTCTAGGAATGACATTATTAATAAGATGCGTTCAAAAATAACATAATTTAAACTGCGTTCTAAAAAATAAAGACATATTTTAGAGAGGATTATCTTTCTTTTCCCAGCTTTTAAAAATAAATTGTTGGTATATAATAATTACATTCAACTTATACTACATTTTGGTTATCTTGGTACAAGAACTTTTTTTTCGTAGTCCATTTTGACCATTGTTCTTTCAGTTATTTAATACGTTAGTTAAAGGAACGGAAATTACTATCTTTGGTGTGATCTGCAAAAATCAACTTTTGCTTGAGTAGCCATCTAGAGAAAGTGCTTTTTAGTACTTTCCTTTTTTTTCTTAAATATTTCATCATTAAACGATAATATGAAGCCAAAAAACCAGTAAACCAATTCTTTATTTTCACTGCTCCACTCCACAGCTGATTGGTAGTCTGGAACTGACACCTTTCTTCGTAAATTTATTATTATTGGCAGAATTTCTGTGTATAACGGAGCAAGGCTACAGCTAAAAAAATATATAATTGTAATCCATTTTACTCTACAAAAACCATTCTTCCATCTTGCACGTGGCCGTCAATGAGTAACGCAAGATGGCGTTACTTCCGTTGACTTTCGGTTATATATTTATTTATTGAATAACACACACATTCCTGTACTTTTACTTATGAACTTTGCATAATCAAATTAATGGGAAAAATAATAGTGATTGTTTGTTATGATATTTTTTTTCAGACCACGGAAATCCTATTATAGTTAAATTGTTTTATACCTGTGAGCTATATTTTTTCCAACCGGGGCAAAAACTCGCTAGTTGATATAGTCCGTGCCAAATAAACTTGCAATAAAGGTCATTCAACCCACTTGTACCACGAAGTCAACAAATTAAGCGATACCGATCGCTTCTCATACAAAACTGTCGCTAAATGGGTGTTCGACCCGGTTTCATAATACATACATAGTACCATCCCATCATTTAAAACGAGTAACTTAAAAATTAAACAAAATCGAGCATGAATAATCGCATAATTTTTTTTATCCTTTTTTTTATCACTAAGACAATTAAACTCAATAGTTTTATTGCTTGTATACGAAAAATATATTTTCGGCGTAATTTTTTTTTCCCCATTTTCGTGTTTTTATCATTTTATTTTTTTATAAAACCATATGATAAGTCATTAAATAAATGGATTTAATAAATATACTAATTCAGTGTACTAAATTGTGTCATAATAAAACATTTTAATTTTACTTTATTTTCGAACTCAGTTATAAGGTATTTTAAGTTACGACGTTGCGTCGTTGCCTTAGAATGACGTCACAGTGAGTCAGAGGTGCGTCACCTGTGGCCGCCGCCAGTTTAAATATGCAGATGCATTATTTGTTTGTAGTCCGATTCGGTCTTGCATTTGCACACCACGTGTATCTTTTGCGTTCATTGTTATTTTTGTTAAATCTTTTTTTTTATTATTAGTTTGTAGATTGTTAACCTTTGTTTTGTTTTGTTAATTGTTATAAATGAGTGAAGAAGTGAGAATGAGTGAGGCAAGGAAAAAGCAACCAAGGCGTCGAAAGAGAATCTTGGAACCTCAAGCAGGTTAGTATATTCAAATTTATTTATTTTCAAACAAATTTTAACAGCCGTTGAAAAAGAATAGTCTTAAAATACATATTTATCTTAGCAATGTTCTTAAATTCCTTACGATTATAGAATTTGTATATTATGCACAAGTCGTCGTTGTTTGAATCCTCAAAACAAAATATTTCTAGGTAACCTGAATTACCAGAATCGATAAAGATAAAAAGTTGTGTACATATTATTAAAGGCGACCTAAATGTTCTTATCTAATATTGTAAGCCAAATTTTCGAAGTAGAAGCCTTTCTCAACAAATTTGCCCTTTTTTCTCCCTACGGCTGACCATTCCTATACGTGGTAGGTTTAATAATTATATTTTCGTTTCAGATCCATCTTCGTCAATACCCCTTAATTCTCCGATAAAAAGAGAAAGCCAACAACTTTGTCAATCGGCGAAAAACAATTGATCACAAACATCTATAAATATGTTAAAAATACTTGGACAGAAACTGAATACAAATCAAATCAGGCTATGGTAGCTAAGATAGCTGAAATTAGCGGAGTGAGTGTAAGATCCATTCATGGAATTTTACGGGAGTACAAAGACACTCACACATTTGAACCAAAAGGCACCACTTGATGATCAAATAATGATATAGACGTTCTTTTTATAATTTATTACAAAATAATATTTTGAAATAAAGACAATGCATGAAATATTTTTATTTTTCTATTATTATAGTAGTATTCGACATGATCCATGGTGTTTCGAAACAACTGATGTAAAACGCACAATGCACTGTAAAGTCGCAAACTATAAATATACGAAATAGCATCTTTAATGTAGCTATGTAATGTTAATAAATGTGTACTATTTAAAAACTGTTTCGTATTTCATTGCCCCTATTCCACATATCCCTTTGGGCTAAAAACTCAGAAAAAAATGAGATCAGTAATATTGTATTCCCCATAAGTTTCATGAACTTGCATATTTTATATGGTTAACTTGCGTCATCGGCATTTATAAACTACTACCTGAAAAAAAGGTTTATGATATATGTCAAACTCGGAATTCCAGGACTGTCCTGTACCACGATACGTCTAATTAGTCACTTTTAGCGATAGTATCCATACTATTTGTTCATTTTGTTCATAATATTAGAGTACATTGGTACAGAGGAGGTGAATGACCTTTATTGCACGTTTATCTGGCACTGACTATAGATATATAAGGCATTTTATAATTTTTTTTATTTAATAAAAATAAGTTTTATTATTACTATACATTAAAGATATGCAAAATTACAACCTCCAGCAAAACAATAGTTACAGATTTTTGAGACTGCACCTACGATTTTACTATCAGTCTCTGGTCCCCTCACTCTCGAACACAAGCGACACTCTTGATTGGTTTACTAGCATACTCTGGCGCTGGTGTGCCTATTCAAGAGTACGAAACGGCAAAATTGCAATGTCGACCAGTCGTGTTCGAGACTAAGAGGGCAACTCCATATGCAGACGAATCTTCACACACATTTAATAATTTCATACTGTTGTTGCCTCTTTAACACGAGGTAATGTCAGTCGTAAATTGCCATCGTCATCACATCGCGTTTCTCGTGAATCTGTCACCCGGAGCGTATTGGTTACGCCGTTGCAAAAGGATAAGTACCTACGTTGCTCCTTACGTACTTTGCGCTCTTTTTGTAAGGACAAACCGTCAAACATAGTGTGCATCGAACCTTAATTAGGGACTTGATAAGTAAAGAATTTATTGGAAAACAAAAAGAGTGGTTGCATCAGACCGACGGGCATAATCCATTTGTGAGCATTTTGCTCAAATAATAAGGCTTCTCTTTCTTCATATTTTTTTCTATTGTATAAGAAAATAATCTTTACCCACGCGGGTACTTATACATTAGATACGATTAAGTACGCATAAAATTTAAATTAATACTAAAATGAAACTTCGCGTGTACAGTATAAAATAATATTTATTATACTGAATAGCGACTGTGACATAATTGAGTCTGTTATAATATGTAATTGCTTTTCTAATTATGATTTTAAAGGAACCAGAACAATGGCACTATAATATTTAGTTTGCTCTCTATGCAGTACAACTACCTTTGATAAACAGTCTGAGGTTTACAAGTTGCCATTTGAAAAAATAAAAGAGCTCGTTATTCCGAACTTTATCATAAATACATTCTTCAGTAAGTTTTATATAATAACCATTAACTAGAATGATGGAGTACATAATTACAACGTTACTGTAAAAATGTAAAAAAGTCAACGCGTTAGTTAGTTATACCGGAGTGTGGCGACGAAAAACGCTTAATGCCTTTCTCGTTTATCACTTACAAAAATAATAACAAAGTGGGAGTCACTACTATATAACCTATCAATATATACCTATATAATGTAATATATAATATATGAACGCCCAAATTGATAAATCAACTTGAGAATGTGCTTTTGCCAAATAATGTATAATATAAAATACCTCAGCAGCAAAAAAAATAACACATACAAACAGATAGATCAGATTTTAATAACTGATTATGAAGGTCAACAGGCCGACAATCCGTATAAATTGGACTAGTGTTTTATTAAAACTGAACATAATTATGAAAATAAATCAAATAAGTTAGCAACACGAGAATTATGAATGAATATGTATAGGGAACAAAGCTAGGTTATATAAATGCATTATTTGACAGTACAACTACAATGGTAAAGTATTTGACATTTCTAGAAATACTGTAATGTATCTTTGAGGACTCTTCTAAATAATATTTATTAGATTACGAAATAGTCAAACGAAAATTAACTTAACCTAGAACATAATATTACTGTTGAACATTAACAATAATTATAACAAATAGTTATGTGACATTCGGTTTTTATCAGTGTTTATAATATCATTAAATAATAACATAACGTTATATAGTTTCAATCAACATAAATAATAAGGATTCTAACGAAAACTAAATGCATAAGACAAAAATTGAACACAATTATAATTAAGCCTATGTGTTTATTTTGCATAAAACTGAGAGATAACTATATAAGAATCTGAGGCGTTGCTGTAGGTGGGATACATCACTTAAATTAACTATGGGATATAAGGGAATGGTGTTATATTCAGTCTGAGTACACCTTACTATTGTCATAATATGAGGAGGATAAATCAGAAAAAAAAAAGTCCTAATCAATTAATACGTAAATGCAGTATCAGATTTATAGTTCCGTAAACACAAGATGACACATGGCTAAAGAGGAACAAAATTACAAATTAACACACTGTATGTTATGAATACCCGAGATGGAAAAGATTCGTCTCAATAACGTATCGTTACACAACTATAATCTTATAAAATAATATAAATTACGAAGCATTTTATCTGCTTAACGCGATATAATAATGTCTAAAGAGCTTATCTTAAATTTGCATAAAATGTAAATACAATTCAATTTCTGTTTACACTTATAAGTTATTTTTATAACAATACACGTTTCTGGTGTCGAACACGACAGTCGGAACACAAATTTACAAAATGAGAATAAGACTAATAGGAAGTCAAACCATCAATATAACAGATAAATTGATGTAGATTTAATAACATACGCTATGTCACTTCGGAGGCCCATCATCAGCATAGTACATCAAAACTATCAATTTATAAAAGGTTACGACTCAAGGAAACGACTAGTAGGCTAATTATGAATACACAAAACAAACTGCAAAATAAACGTGATATTAGGGGCGTCAACAGATCGATATACAAATTATAATTAAATACACTTTTGCCCTGAATAATTAGTATTAATCCAATTGGTACATTGCAGAAGCAAAATGTTATAGTAAATCGCATTTAAATGCCATTGGCCACTGCGATATATCAATAGGGATGATGAATATTAAACAAGTTTAGTATTTTTATTTTTTGCGTAATCAATAAATTACGGCAATACATTGAGTTGAAATGTAGCATGACGTCACGCTTTTGTACATTTTCTACAAAACGGTGACGTAGCGAGCCCAACTTTAATGCCTATTATCTAAGCCATGTCTTGTTATATTGCATTTAAATAAAACTAACGGTAAGATATTTCACGTGACGCCCCAACTATGCTAGCCACGTTACATCTAAACGCTATTGTAATTCATCAGTTGGTGCGGAGTGGCGGGCGAGTAAAGCGGCCGGTTCGCTCGTGAAGCAATCGAAACTGGTGTCGAGGAATAGTTCCTGTAGGAACCGACGTGCGCATAACATGTACGAGTCTCTGGCTAACAGTGAGCACACGTCCGAGTATACACACGGACTGCGGAATACATCCGGATGTCGTTGCTTTAGCGTTAGCAATGCCGATCGCGTCTGCAGAAAACAATATAATTTTTATTACATGCAATCAATACGGGTGTAGACAGTAAACGAAAATAAATACAGATTATTTTTTTCTGGTAGTGTTTAATATACTATTACCGATAATCACACTTTCATGCTTAGAATATATTGCTGAATTAATAACGGAAAAAACAAATATTTTATACTCGTTGACACGTGGCTGCAGCGCGTGACGTCACGACCCTCTCTACTCATATCAGAACTTAGAGGGTTGAACCTTATGCATATATAGAATGATATTAGTTTGAGATGGGCGTGACGTTATGACAGAAGATGGCGTCTTCGCGGGAAATTTTGAAAATAAAATTATTTTCAGAATATAACTTATTATATGAATGATACTTTTATATATATATTTAACATATATTTCATGTATAACTATCAAATAAAGACCGTATTCAGAGAAACCGACAAGAAACTTAGCAAGGGATGCTTTATATAAATACAGTTTTATGAATTAAAAAAAGTAACAAATTATCTGGAGAGAACAAAATGTCTTTTACAATTTGTCACTAGGTCATGACTTCATAAGTGGGTATAATAAGGTCTTTGTCTAAATGATATTACAATTACGGTATGTAGATATTTTATTCGTAACAGCAATTTCTATTTGACTAACTGATAGCATGTATTAGCATAATAAAAACCATCAGTCCTCATCCCTAGAAAAACCAATTAAAATATCATTTAAGTAGGCTCTAAATGGTAGCAGGCTTTGTTTTAAACTCAATAAATCTCCAGTTAAAATAGTGTTACATAAAATGAAAAGTAAATACATTTTTATTGTAATAATTTATTATTTTTGAGATTGCAAATACAACACGCCTAACATGTAAAACTACTAAAATAAGCAGTCAATGTAAAATTACCAAAATATGCAACAACGCTATAAAACTAGAATTATAAACATTTGCTAATGCATATAATCCGATGTCTAGTAATAGACAATGTTGCTGAGCTCGATGGCGCAGGGGCTATACGGAATACGGTTGTTAAAAAAAATTTTCGCAATGGCCGGTTATAGGATGGGTGACCAAAAATTTATCGTCTCGAACCCCTCCGTGCATCGCTTCGGAAGGCACGTTAAACTGTTGGTCCCGGCTGCATATGAGTCGTTAATATCCACCAAACCGCACTGAGCCAACATGTGGGCCATTGCCCATTCTCCCTATTCCATTAGGCTAGTGACGAAATAAGTATTAAAGACTGACCTGTTTCAGATGCGTAGGATTGGACATATAATGCACGTAGTGGAGTACTTCAGCGTGTGGAGATCGTTCGCTGGGCGATGGACTGCTGGGCGGACTGCGACTCTCCAGACCTTCCATACCTACAGGATTATGTCGTATCTCATATATAACAATCAAATCGATATTAGGATGAAGATAACCTAAACAACATTTTAGACCTGTTTGATCAAAATTTCAAACTCTATCAATCTATTTATTAAAGCTTAAAATTGTTTTCGCCGAAAACTGTGTAAACGATCTTTCTTTCTTTCTAGCTCGGTGCCGGATAAGCGCCGCGGCCCACTTTGTTATTAAGCAACTTTCCCAAGAGTCGGTCACAGGATGGATGACCAAAAAATTATTATCTCGGGCAACTCCTTGCTAGAAGGCCCGTTAAACCGTTGGTCCCGGCTACATTTGCATTCGTTAATACCCTCCAATCCGCATTGGGCCAGCGTGGAAGGTCATGGCCCATCCTCCTTAACCATCCACAAAGAAGGCCTAAGCCCCTGCAGTGGGGACGTAAAATGCCTGATGCTAATGATCTTTCTTCTACGAGTTTTTGGCAGCGTTTTCGAGGAAAACTCCCAATCGGCTTTATTTTTTCCGACATATTGAACTAATATCGTTGTAATATCGTCAGTTTGTACAAAACCTAAACTTACTATGCATTAAAATCTTTCTCAGGAATTGCTCTACTTCTCCTTTTCTACTTCTAATTGTCCAGTAATCTTTAACGCGAACAGACAGACTTACAGAAGTGGCAGTGAATTTTGTTTTATAATATGTAGTGATAGTGATGATTACGGATGTCCAACAACTAAGTACTAAGTTCATATTAACATTCATATAAATTCTGCTAAATATATATATACTTCCCGAGTTTAAAATCTAAAAATTATAGCTTTAAGGTTTCTAGTGGAAGTTTTAGTACTTTAAGTTTTCAAGGATCTACTACAATGTAATTAATTTAATGATCTGTGTGTATAAAAAAAAATCGACAACTAAACATTGAAATTGTGTGAAAGCTGTTATTGACCTTACTCTTTCTGATAAAATGACTTATATATTAAAAACACATGAAAAATGTAAAAGAAAATTACATAAAAAAATCGAGTGTATACAACAAAATAGTATTTTTATTTCTTTAGCTCTCGATTTCCCCAAATGCAGCCTAAGTTCTGAGAGTGAATTTATTATTGTTTCGATGTATGTGCGAATGCGTATGTGTGCAATAATATAAATTACGTGACTGTGACATTTTGATTGTAGTAACAACATCCTAGTGAATCATAAATAATAATTATCCTATTATCACACAGTGATATTCCATTACAACAAGGTCACAAAATTATAGTAGCGGAGCCCAATATGCTAAATCGGGATTTACTCAAGCGCATAGAGGCCTATTGGGTTGCAAAGATTAAATGATAAAAAGAAAAAATGACGTATAATATATACTCTTTCATCGGTGGGGAGAGCTGCTATAGAATGTCATTATATACTCGAGCGCGTCAGATACTGATATCATCCATGTCCTACGTATTTTTAAAAATGTACGTATGTAAATTATAAACATAATTAAAAAAAATTATCGAGCGCTTCAGATTTTCTAAGAGGATCGTTGTCGTTAAGCAACTTTCACAAGGGTCGGTCACGGGATGGGTGACCAAAAAATTATTATCTCGAGCTACTCCGTGCTTCGGAAGGCACGTTAAGCCGTTGGTCCCGGCTGCATTTCCAGTCGTTAATACCCTCCAATCCGCATTGGGCCAGCGTGGAGGGTCATGGCCCATCCTCCTTAACCATCCATAAGGAAGGCCTGAGCCCCTGCAGTGGGGACGTAAAAGGGCTGATGATGATAATAATCTGATGATTTGGATGTGACGCAAACTCGCAGCAACTGTTAGAATGTGAAAAAAAAACATTTTGGAATACTTCAGTGCGTCAGGTTAAGATATATAAGGATCATCTATGCTCTAAATATACTCTCATAATCTGACGATCATCTAAAGGGATTCATCTAATCTGACAATTAAAGATTTTAATTTTTATACATATCCTTGAATTATTCTCTTCAAAATAAAAAAATTGCCACGCTCGAAAATATCGAGGTGACGTTTTTTACAACTTTGTAGGTGACGTTTTTTACCCTTTATTCACGTCACTCACAAATTGTCAAATAAGTGAAATATTCACGTTTTAGCATGTAACTAACTCACCTTACCTTAATTTTTCAGATGAGAATTTCAGATGATCAATTTCTTTTTAGTAAACCCTTGACATGTGACCATTATGAGGCTCATATTTGGTGGAAATACTTAACAGAGTAGAAGATATCAGCCTGTATATTAAGCTGCCGCGCTTTAGTAAATCCCCTCTTGGGCGCCCCTACCATTATAAAAGAACATACACCGTTTATAACTAGCTGTTTTTCCGCGACTGTACCCGCGTAAATTATAGCCTATGTCACCCGGGTATGGTAAAGCTTCGCGTAGGTAAAAGAATTTTTTAAATCGTCGTTATCAGTGGTTGGTATAGATGTCAGTATTTTGTGATATGTACGACATTCGACGTATTTCTTTGAAAATACAGATAAAAATTAAAAATTCATAATATAATCTAGAGCTGTACATTGCAACGTTGCTCCACGTCTATTTGATTTTAAACTTACCCTCAAAAGGTTAAAATCATGTGTAAAATTTAACAGATTTGACTTACCCGCAAAGAATGCTTCGCGCAACTCGTGCGAGGAAGGCGGTCGAGTCCGCACACACGCCAAACACTCCGCCGTAGAGTGTCGCCATCTATTGCTTTGCCGGGTAACTGCTCCGAGGCTCAAACTGTTTTCCATTTCAGATTGTCCTTTGTTCACATTCATGTTATCCTTTTCGCTCGCGATTACTGTCGTGAGATTTTGTACAATTTCTACGTTCGTATTATTAACATTAGTTTTGCTAGTCGGTGCCGTCTCAGCGTCCACTTCATTCGGAGATTTCTCTTCAGCTATACTATCTGTAGTATGTTCTTCTGATATACGTTCTCTGTCTGCTCTCTCTTTGGCTATTCCACTAATATTATTGGGAAGGGGGTTACCTATACCAACTAAGTTGACATTTGTCACGCCACCTAAAGATAATATAATAAGTTTTAATATAGTAACTTATATTAAATTTCGGAAATAACTATGAATATTACAAATATTGATACTTATTTATTAACGAATAGCAAAAGTACGTATAATAGATTTTTATTTTAAATATATCGGCCTGCCAGTTTCACCCTCCAATCCGCATTGGGCCAGCGTCATGGCCCATTCTCCTTAACCATCCATAAGGGAGGCCTGAGCCCCTACAGTGTAGACGAAAATGAGCTGATGATGAAGATGACGTAATGGCTAGAAATTTCATGATTGCGGGATAAATTAAATGAATGAATAAAAATATGTTTTTGCTCTATTTTATAATGCCATATGGAGAAAAATAATTCTTTATAGTAGTTTATTATGACCATATGAAAGTTTTAAATACTTTTCCTAAAACAGTCAAACAGCAAATTTTGCCAATACTATTTAGAAGAATGGTGAAACAATGAAAGGATTTCAAATGCAAAAAAAAAAATATTACACCACTACTAGCTGTACTGACCTCTATAGAAACCCAACTTTTGGCTGTCAGGAGTCGCACGTGACTTATTATCGGTGCTTGCGTTACTAGACTCAGCGAGGAATGACGGCATACGGACACGACGCGTACTATCCGGTTTAGTCTCCCCCTCATCTCTTCCTTTGCTTTCTTCATCTCTGCATAGTTAATATGACAATATAAGCTAAACGGTTTTATTAAAAGAGTGATAAAAATCAAAATCCCATTTCTGGTTTAAATTTTTTTAAAGCTACAAAATATTAGAGGTCGGATTTTTTGTGTCAGGTGACAAAAATTCTAACGAATCGGACTAACGTTCGTGAATATTTTTCAAATGTCAAATCGAAAAGGATCACGATAGATTTTAAAATTAGACAATGAGTTCCTGGATATTCGGTCAACCTCCAACGTTGGCTGTTGATGGATAGATTGATAACCCTTTTTGCACACATAAAAATAAACAGTTTATAGAACATTTTATAGATAATGTGTACCTTGGGAAGAGTTCCATGAGGTCTCTCGGCAGACAGATGCCGATATAAGCGGGTGGAGGAGGGGGGCGGGGCGCGGGGTGCGCAGGGGGCGCACGTCGACGCCGCGGGGACGCGCGCCCCCCTCCCTCCGACGAACCCAGCGGCTTCCAATCATATTCCAGTAAACTACACAAATCCGGCAGATTATATAAGACCCATTTCTCTAAAAAAACCCTAGATTAGACCACAGATAACCTCCACCATTAAAAATAAAGATGCCAAATACAGCGGTGGATGGCGAACGACGTAATTGCGGCGACGCTATTGACTTAATACAGGGACACAGTGATAGGAACCATATCATAATGTGTTAAAGGCATGTCGGTAATTAATCGATATTAAATTTTACTATCAGATGTCATTAAAAAAATATTTTTATTAATTTATAGCACTACAAAGTAATTGATGGTCAAGGCATCCAACGGCAAGGTTTCAGTTAGTGTGTACGCCTTTCACGTACCTGCTATACTTTCTTATTTATAGCTATGATAAAATGCACTGAGACACTAAACATACATAAAAATGTTGCGCCACTACGCTCATTTAAGAATATTGAGTTAAATCTTCAAACGGGGTTAATTTTTGCGAAAAATGCAAAAGGTCGCAAACATTTTACTTTTAAATATCGAACAAGTATTTAAATAGGATGAAAAGTATTAATGGAAAATTAAAATATATGTTAAAGTAGTTAACATGACAAATATTGGTTATTGTGTACTAATTTGAGCACTGAGTACAAATTTTTCCTGTAATAGTAACTATGCCAATCAATGTTTACGTATGGAAATATCGATATCAATTAATAAATCACCTAGAAATAGCACGCAGTAGCGATACTAGTGTTACACGTGCCTTTGTCAGACTGAAATGAATATACTAATTCAGTAATGAGAGAAAGGGATGGGTTTCAAAAAGATATCAACGCGTGCTACATTTTTTATAGTTACCTAAATTGTCCACTATAAATTGAACACCGCGAGATAAAAATACAAATAATATTTATCTCTGATGAAAAGATATACCAACTTTCTTGCAATTAGATGCTCTGGATTTTTTCCACACCATTTGACACTACAACTTGCAATGGTTAACCCAAAAACTACTTCATTATAGAGAAGTCTTCTCGTCAAGGCATATATTTACAGATAGAACACTCAGTCGTAACCGAGGATTCGCATACATGTATTACTACTTTTGTTAAAACGATATATGCAAAATCATAGATGCTTGGCCACAGCTTGCTATCTTTCATGCAGCATCTATTAGAGGTTATCTGTGTTTTAGACTAAGGCCCTTCTTATCAACGGCTTCCAATCGTATTCCGTACACTACACAGATTATATCTGGCTTATTTCTCTAAATACCTTGGATTGCCCTATGGACCTTATTACATTACGACACATACTGGAGCTCTATTTTAGAATCATTCTTACTCGCGTCCACTGGTCGTTTACTTTTAATTTACATTCGTCATAAGAAATTCACTATTTTTGTTTTCTAATGCAAGGGCTAGTACTAATGTAAACCCAAATTATAAAAAAAAGCCTTATTCCCTTTGATCCACACTAACTTCCAATATTCGATATATAAGACACATAAAGCTCAAAACGTTATTTGAGACCATAAATACTCTATTTCCCTATTATAAAGGCAAAACTATACTTTCCATACATCTAAGAATAATACAGTTTTCATAGCAATTTTTATCTGTTCTGTAGTGTATCAAAACACTTATAATAAAATAGATTAGTTGTTAATAAGTAAATGAAATTAAAATGTTTACCTTAATTTAGTCATTCGTTCTCTCGTCGATTTCGCTCTATCTCTTAATGATGAGAAAGGTTTCGATCTTCTGTTACTTTCAGATAGCAGCCAATTCAAATCATCCAATTCGCTTGATCCAGTTGCAGCACTTTCAGATAAATGAGGCCTAATCAAACACAATGTTCAGCACAATAAAGAATTTTGTAGTTATGGAGTATATGCACTATTTTTAGAAGTTTACCATTGTTTACCATTTACCATCAGAATTTCGGAACCTGGGTATTGTTCTCTTTAATATGCTTCAGGTGCCAGTAAGTCAATACCAGTACTACGGCCGCACTAAGAAACTTTATTTAACATATTATTGCTTAAGAAAATAACTAATAAAAAGCTACTAAATTGTTTCAAAACGGTACACGGTATACTTTCCTCGGATCTCTCTGTCACTCACTTTCCCACGCGTTAAAATTTTAATTTTTAAAATTCGCAAACCCGTATTAGGACCGAATTTTTTGCAGACCACCCTATATCAATGTGGTCGTAATAAAACAGCGTTTATGTTGATATAATTTTTTTTGATTATCAAATCAAGTGAAATTAACTGGCATCGATATACCTGTTTATACCTGACAACCCAGTAGTTCGTCCAGGTAAATAATAGACAACCCAACGTCTGCACATTCTATATGTTTTATACTTTAAGTCAGAATTAAATTTTTCTTATTATCTTGATGTTGCAACATTTAATAAAAAAATTTTTTTTTAAAAATAATTTAAAATATTCGGTCCAGGACTTTTTTAGCGAACCCATTTTTAATATATTTTCTAATATACTAAATTAATTATACAATAAGTTTTATTCCATTATCAACCCGGCGAAGGTCGATTTAGGTTCGGACCTTCTACTATTAGGGTATGTTCCGATATACACTGCGACCACTGAACAGTATAACGTCAATTTAGTATACTGGAAGCCCGTTCCTTTATAGCTAGTTAGACTTTTTAAAACGGAACGCAGTCCAGTATACTGTTAATCCTATTTTTTGGCGCCATTTTCAAATTTGTTAATGCAAGGTAAATATAAATATAAAGATTCCCTCTTTTCAAAAGAAAATTGGAAAATTGTATAAAAAAAATATTTATCAATTAAATCCATCTTATAAATAAACGTAAGTATTTTTTTTTTGTTTATTTAGAAACTTATCATTTTCTGATTCTGTTTCGACTGATCACGTGATCAAAAGCACTGCGAGCACCTTACCTCGAAATCTCCAGTGCTCACAGTACAAATATGGCGGCAATTTATGACGTCATAAATTTCCCTAGGGTACTGTAGCAGTATACTGGCAGTCCATAACGGAACGGATTTTCATCATCAGCAGTAAGACCACTGCGCAGTGCTCGCAGTGTATATCGGAACATACCCCTAAAGTTGATTCAACGTTAAAAATTTATTACCGTCTGTTTAAGGACTTCAAAGTCGCAAATCCTGTGATATCCGTTTGACTCGGAGGTGAACTCGCAACATCTGGACCGGTAAAACCTGGTAGTTAAATAGAAATAAATATTTTTTTAACAAAATAGTAGTAATAGAGATGATGATTAATTTTTGCTTGTGTGTCGATCGGGTAGATAATTAAAGAAATCGGGTAGATAATTTTTTGCGTAATCAATAAAGTTCTGAGACACATTGAGTCGAAATGTCGCATGACATCACTCCGTTGTACATTTTCTTCATAGTTGAAAGTTGTGACGTAGTGAGTCCCTACTTCTCAGTTTTAATATCTATTATCTAAGCCATTTTATGTTAAATTAAAAGAAAACAAATCCATAAGTAATATTTTTTTATTACCTGGATTTTTTACCCAGGCATCATCCCTAGTGTATATTTTTCTCATACAACTTCTCCCCATTGTGTTGCAGGCCGCAAAAATAGGATATTAAATAAGTGCGATTTTTAGTACAGTTTAATATACTAATATGTTATTCTGCTGGGGCTTTTCAATATATTTATAAAAGTAAGATTTAAAAATAAATAAAAATTAAATAATTTTTTTTCGGGCTATAAATAAGAATCGAATGTTTAATTCTTTTTATCTTTAATTGGGTGACCAAAAATTTATTATGTCGAGCTACTTCGTACTTCGGAAGGCACGTTAAGCTGTTAGTCCCGGCTGCATTTGCAGTCGTTAATACCCTCCAAGCCGCATTGGGCCAGCGTGGAGGGTCAGAGCCCATCTTCCTTAACTATCCACAAGGAAGGCCTGAGCCCCTGCAGTGGGGACGTAAAAGGGCTGGTGATGATTTCTTTAATTATGTTTTTATACTAAAAAAAGAAAATGAAGACTACAATAGAACTGCCTGGCGACCTCAGTTTTGCCACCCCTAATTTTTGACGGTTTGGTAGTACCATGAATTTATTCTTTGATGGAATTTTATTGAAACATGTTTCTATATGAATTGATAGTTGATCACAAATATCATCGTAAGAGTCAGCCAGCATTTCTCTATAATGCCATGGGTATTTATCTGGTTTGTCCATTTAGAAATGGCCCTGTTTATAGCTAAATAACATGATAGGTTATCTTACTTGAGGTAGATGTCCGTCGTTGCAGTTCACATATCTTCGGTCGATGAGAGCTACTGCTGCTTTTCATACCATATAAACTTGATGAACTCGGTATTGGACTCAATGTTAGTATTCTATCACTGTAATATATAAAAAAAAACATATTGAACGATTTCACACATTTGATCTGCATTAACAGACTAATGAGTATGCAATTGAGCTCGAGTTATAATGCAACTCGTTTTTAAGAAAATTGCGAACAAAGGTTTTCGTAATCATAACCACAAAATAAAATACAACAATAATAATATATATTTTTATGAGAAATGCTTAAAAAGGGGAAGGGGTCACTCTTCCCCTGGCGCCAAAACTGGATCCGCCCTTGCCCACGAGTCAGCAGTGGCAACACCATGAAACATCGAACAACATATGACAAATATTAAATTTAAAATTAATTATAACAAGGCAAAATAACATTACATTTAGGAACTTACGGAATAGCATATTTCCCGAGGAACGAGTCACAACTGCTCACGCCGCTCGTACTAGACTCACTAGTATTCCTTACGCGGCCCTCGTGAGCATGCTCCAACGAGTTCATCCTACCAACTATCAGTCTATTCTGGCGTTCGTAATTCGAACAGTCTCTCAGTATGTCTACAGTTCTAGACTCTGAAAGCATTGGACGGTCGTGCGAACTACTACAGCCTTGCGAAGGTAATGTATGCGATTTCCTCTTGTCCTCCCTCCGGCCATCCGTAAAGTTTGCTTTGTGATCCACCACATCCTGATCTTTCACTTCTTCCGATAATATATTGCCGACTTTATTTAAATGTTTCGTTATGTCCGAATGGAGACTTTCCGCCGTACTTTGGTCGGTATGGTCTGAATGTTCGCTGATATCAGCGTCATAGTTTATACGGCGATCTGGCGACATCACGTAATGATGCCCGCTTGAATCGTATACGACGGTATATATCTCTTCGGGTATAACGGGAAATTGGTCGTGTCTCGTATGCCTGACGCATAACCAGCCTGCAACAAAATACTTATATATTATCAACTAGTGATAAAAATATGGGCCAGGTGGTCCACTCTGTATATTGAGGAAAAGTTCATTCAAACCAATTGTGTAGTTTAAAAGAGCGTACAGACAGCGAGAAGCTACTTTGATTTATACTATTTACAGATTTGAATAAAGTAACAAGATCTTACCAAGATCAGCCAGGACATTGGCACCATCATAAGTACTTCCAATCAATCCAAGTACGTAGAAAGCGGTCGCTCGTACAGAGTAAACTGGACAATATTTAGCCAATCTCACTATATGTACAGGAACTGAATCTTCCAAAAAACCATTAGACAAGTTCATAAGCTGCTGAAGCCCTTGTGGGGTTACAGCCGTGCTCCCCATTGCCCAAAGTGATGCTTTCAGATCCACGATTTCTTGTTCTGAAGCACATTTCTGATGTTGTAATATCTGTGTCGAGAGGAAAAGAATATAATAGTACATAGAATGGATGACTAAAAATAGATTATGTGCAGTTGTTTTCATGCTTAGGACGGTCCGTCCGTCCGTCCGTCCGGAGCCGTCATCTGCAATCAATAATACCCACCAATGTCTACTGGTACCTGAATAGAAAGAACTTCGTGCAATAACTCGGCGTTGCATTTCTTTCACTCGTCTTTCTCTCTTACACTCTTGCGCATACATATTACTATTACGCTAGCACAGACGCATCTAATTTTATCATAGTAAAGAGAACGAAAAATATTTACGATATCCATCAGTAGACAAAGGTGAACGTGCCATAGACAATGTTATAATTGATAAATAATTTCTTTCTATTAGATAAATATGTAGTAAGTGTGATTATATTTGTTTATTTATTCCGTGATTTATATTTATTATTACAGATGCTCTAATCACTGAGAGGTAGCTAACTGGACTGACGAATCTTTCAAGCATTTTTTACTTTTTCGCTACTAACGAACGTATTTTCATCAACGTTAAACCAATCCCAAACAGCTGAAAGAAATATTGTTACAAATATTGTGGATTGCAAATTTGATCAAATATAATAATAGGGATGACGATTAAATTTTTTTGTTTGCCCGTCAGGTAGTGTTAAAAAATTGAAACACGTATTTTTAAGGCTTCCTTATGAATGGAACCGAATAGGGAGAATGGGCCGTTCGGATTAGTGGGTATTAGCGACTGCAGATGCAGGCGGAACCAACGGCTTAACGTGCTATCTGAAACACGTAGGAGCTCGAGATATTAAATCATTTTAATTTGATTCGGTCACCCATCCTATGACCAGCCATTGTGAAAGTTGCATAACAGTCGTATCGCAGACCGAGCGCGCTAATCACTGCGCCATCGAGCTTCTCATTAAATTCAAACATCATTATATAATAACAAATAAACATTGGTTGACGAGTACACTTATTGAGCTGGGTTGTGATGAGATCACACACAATTTTTATGTGTGTTGTTTTCAATTATTATGTTTGTTGTTGTGGTTGACTAAAATAGCAACTGCTATTATGATTTTCATAAGAAGTAAACCTAATTCACTAAAAATCAATACCTATATCTAATATCTCTCATTTCATAATTACATTTGACGATGTTTTAAAAAATCGTCCTTTTTTTGTTATCGCGTAATAACGCGATAAAAAAAATAATAAATAGATAAAAAAAACAATAAAAAATACTTTGTAATAACAAAGTATTTTTTATTGTTTTTTTTGTTATCTAAGTTCTTGAATATATACATATAAATAGGCTTTCTTCGAAAATGATTTCAATAAATTAACAAACAAAAAATTTACAAATTATTATAAAAACATTTCTTTTGTATTTGGTGCTATCTATACTTTATATTCTCAAATGACGTCACGCGGGTGTTAAACAGACAAGGTTCTAACGCATTAGCAAATTACGGGCCTTCTAATACTTACCGCATAGTGTAGCGGTAGCACGGTGGGCAGTAACGCGCGCGCCAGTGCGGGGGGCGCGCGGGCCGCAAGGGCGGAGTGCAGGTGAGGCGGGGGGCGGGCGGCGCGGCGGGCACGCGCCCCCGGCCGCTGCGACCCCCCCTCGGACAAAGACAGGGCCTCGTGCACGCCCGCCTCCACCAGGCGCACGTACCTAACACGAACACAACACATTACAGCCCTTCTCGTGGCTGCACGCGTATCATGACGAACTCAAGAACGTTTGGTCTACACTCAAATGTCACTTTTCTCGGGTCCGCTCATACAATATCCCGCTCTCGACCCGAAAAAGTGACATTTGCGTGTAGACAAAGCGTTTCTCGAGTTTGTCATGCTACACGTGCTGGTTTACACGTATTAAGTTGACAAGTAGTAACTAAATTATTAAGTTAATTTTAAGTGACTGACAGCTAGTTGTACATACGTTCATTTGGATTGCCATTAGATTAAAGCGACATTAAATCAAATCAAATCAAACCAACCTTTATTGTTGATCACAGGTTATATAAAGATATTGGACAGGTTATATAAAGATAGATAGATATTGGATACCAATGCAAATTTTAGCGATTAAAGTCATCAATAATACCTTAATGAATGTTTGTGCAAATGGAGTTTAATTTATAAATATGATAGTTTTTAATATATTTTTTTACCAAATTGGATTAATTAAAATAAAAGCTTATATTTAATTATGTTATTAATTTTGATACATAATACATTGATGTTTTACATCGTTTGTTAACTTTTTTGTGTCAACGACATCCCTATACATTTTCGTCATTTCTGCTCTGACAAATAGCATTTCGTTTGATTATTTTGATTTAACTTTTTTAACAATTATTTATTTTTCTGACGAAAACAAAACGAAAATATATAAAATAAAGCAATAATGTTCATGATAAAATATGACTAAACCTGAATTTTACCTGTAATTATAAAATTTAGTCCAAAAGTCAAGGTGTTTCTTGAGGAAGGCGATCGATTTCAAATCTCCGATATCAGAGGCCGCAGCAACTTCTAAGCCCAACCACAACAAGTAGCCGCGATCTCCCACCAGCGAGAAATCCAAACTAGTGGGATCCGCGTACTTATCTAGACGACAATTCTGGCATAACACCTCCTTCATCGACTTCAACTTCTCAAAGTATGCCTATAAACGGTTATAATTATTAAATATAATTAATAAGAAACGATTATGTAAATCATATCGTATGACCATCTACACTAAGCAAAAAAACAATGCTATACTTATTAAGTTAACCCAAGTGAAGAAGCCATGATTGATTTTGGAATTCCATTCCACTACACACTATAATATAAATAAAATGTTCATAGCCTTACCGACTATAACGAATCTTCAAATTAGACGAAATAATCTAATTTACATATAATTTTACAAATAGCATATCTCTATTACATTAATACAATATAGCGAGTTATTTGTCTGATATAAGTTAGAGTAGCTTTTTAGATTCGACGCTCAAAAAAGCAAATTTCTAATCGATACGGGTGTAGACAGTATATAATTTTTTTATGGTAGTGTTTAATATACTATTACCGATAATCACGCTTTTTTGTTATTATATTTATAATATTGCTTTAAATAATTATGAAAATACAAATATTTTATACTGCTTGTCACGTGAACGTTAACAGCGCGCGAAGGTTAATTGTCTAAGTTCTGATATGAGTAAGAGGGGCGCTCTTACTCATATCAGAACTTAGACAATTAACCTTAAGCATTCATAGCAATATAGAACAATATTACTTTATGAGGGGCGTGAGATCAAAGCGACGCCATGACAAAAGTTTTTTTTTTAGATATACTCGGTGGAACAGAACGACCGACACTCCCGAGGTTCCTGGAGTACTATTTGTCTTTAATATGATGTAAAAAAATTATATGTGTAGGTCAAATAGTTTTGGAGATATAAAATTACAAAGATTTTGGAAAAAAATGAGTGTTTTCAACCCTGAGTCAGCTATTTTTGGGACGTACTAAGGAACAAGATTTTAATCGGTCATTGACTTCTTCATTTCTAAAAACGAAATAAAGTAGTTTATGATTTATAAGACTGCTTTCATGCAAATTCTACCAGACAATCACTAAACAAGGCAGTCAAAATGCTTAAATCAATTAACAGACTAACAGCCGGTTTCTGATTTGAAAAAAGTAGAAAATCTCTACTGATTATTCTCAATAACCTACTTATTTAAAATGTATTTAAAATGAAAATTCAATTGCGTGGTAACAAAATACGAGTTCGAAAAATAGATTTTTTGTTCCATCGGCGTCGGCGCCTTTGTTTCAGTCACCGCCGGACATTTGCGCGTGAGGCACGTTATTGCATCACTGCCACCTTACCGCTTCGAAGCGACTTTTTGATAATTTTTGTTTTGTTCTAGTGCATTTTTAATCAAATTTTTGTTAATAAGATACTACAGTGTTCATCTTGAGTGTTAAGGTTAGTTCAGTGAAGATTGTGTTTAGTTTTGTGTAAGCTGTGATGTGTTTTGCGCGTGCATGCACTGGCATGCAAAAGAGCGTGCTTAGCTGTCTTCAGAGAAGAATTGGATATTTTCTGCATCGACTAACATTAAGATATCGGTTAATAATTAAATTTAATTAATGTATTTTGTGGTCCGTTGTTATCTGCGCACAATCGATATTGCGCATGCGCGTTAAAGGGCTCTCAACACTTAGAAATTTAAAATTTTTACTCCATTTTTACATCTCCTCTATTTTGAAATATTTGTCAAATAAAATGAACGTTTGCATATAACCTAACTTGAAACTTTCGGCTGTGTCGGTCATTTTGTTGCTCCCTGTATTACATGTATATTTATAAAATAAATATATATAAAAAAAGTTGCCTACACCCCTATTCGTTGTATATCATCGTGAATGCATAATAAGGCAATGGCCTCGATTCATATTTAATACTCACAGGCACACTGTACGCCTCCTCTAAAATCGCCAAAGCACATTTCACGACCTCCTTCGACTCGTCCTTCACCTGTCCAACCAACATTTGAAGTATCCACGTATCCATATCAACGCCATGATTCACGTCATTATCATCCCTATGCACCGTTTTCAATTGCTCTTGTACATAATTAGTCTTTAGTTTCGTTTTACGCCTCACCAAGTCGCGAGACTTACGCGACGCCCTTAGTAATACATTTAGGAACTGTGTAGTGTACATTCTCGAGGCTTGAATGTTGCAGGTTAGAGTTTTGGCAAGAACATCACGGGGATAGGAATCTAAAGTGTAATCTAAACTCGATATCACTAATTTCACGTAGCAACTATGGTGAGTTTTCGTGGACAGTTCTAATAGACTGAAACAAAATGATTATTATATTTCATCAATTCTGCATTCACAACGCTATATTGGAAAATATTCTTAATGAAAAATGCTAATTTCTTCCAAAATGATTATTTAATTAAATAATATATTAGCGAGTTTATTTTTTAAGAATAATAAAGAGCAACTCACTTTTCATACAACCTAGTTTCCTTGAAGAGCCTTAGGCCTGTATGCGAGTGACATAACTGGCCAATAAACAAGAAGTACATCTGGCACATTGTGTTACACATGTGTTGGGGGCTGAATAAGCAGCCGTGAGCTTTCAATCCTGTCTCTATCGCTTCAATCTGACGACTTACATCCAAGAACAATTCCTCCAACATCCTTTGGCAATCAGGCTAAAAATGGATTTGTTGAAATAAATTTAGAAAGAGAGTCTTTATTTTTTATCACAAAGTACAGAAAAATAGAATATTTTTATTACAGATACAGAAATACATTTTCAAAAAGTTGAAAATCGGCATATGTATAACCGGGATACAAAAAAATTGCAATCTGAAGTAATAAAATTACATGAGTCAGTAGAATTAATACGAAATAAATATTTTGCTGCAGTCTCATTTGATCAGAGCTCACAGTTGTGACTTGTTGTGACATGTATTCTTTCTGATTATTATTATTATACTTGTTACTAATGCTGTTATCTATTGCGTTAATCAAATATTTATTATTTTTAACGGTAAATGGTAACGGTCAGCATTGTAATTGCATAGATTAACCAACTCTGTCACAGACCTTATATGCTCAGGTCTGCCACATCCAATTTACATATTGATAACATTTTTAACAGATCTGATACCACTTTCAAAACATATAATTAAACAATTACTTTCATATTATTTTGGACAAATAGTTAGCTTTCCGCATAAATGCACGTTTATGGCTAGAAGAGATAATCACAGTTGTGCCAAAAAGTGTCAGTCGTTTGGAATGTTTTAAAAATCAATTACTAGTAAATCGTGTCATATGAAACATAAAAAGTAATCTCGACGATTTGTAATTAATAACATTATTTTCTCAAAAAACTGTTAGTAATCCTATAATACACTAAAAGCTTAGTGTATGTGCTACATCTGGAATCTATAAAAGCAGAAAAAGACTCTATGAACAATACGATGAATATAATTCTAACACAAATGAGGATTTCAAGGAATCCACGAAATAACTCTAAATCGTTTAAAAAGTGTGTCGTTAAGCCAAATGCACATATTAAAAATAGTAAAGATGCAGTTAAAATGACGTGGAATATCATATATTATTTGATTTTTTTTTTACTGAAATTCCAGTCTTAATTGCACAATCTTTGATTTCCTCTTCCACTGTTGCTGAATCTAAATTCTATCATTGATTTTAAAGATGTAATAAAATTTTTAATCAGCTAAAGAAAAAGAAAACCGCTGATTTATGCGGTAATTTCATTGACATTTCCAAATAGGTAATTGAGACAATAGCTGCAATCCTAGCTTATATATTTAATGAATGTACTGATTGTGGTATTTTTACTGAGCTCATGAAATATAGTAAAATTATTCCTTTAAATAAATCGGGTAGCACATCTGGCCCCACTAACTTTAGACCTGTATCCATGCTACCTACGTTCTACGTACGATCAAATGCAAACAAACTTTACAAGAATAATCTTATGAATCGATAACAATTAGGTTTACAAGGAGTCGCTCAAGAATTTAAGCTAGTGTTGAGTTAATACAAGAATTTTTTGATGTCGAGGAGGATTCACTATGCGTGAGGTGTTTTCTTTGACCTATCCTTAGAAATGCCTTAGCATTTGACTGTATTTTTCATGAAACATTGATTAGGAAACTTCATTATTATGGATTTAGAGAAAACTCATTGGATTTAGTCTCATATTTGACTGACAGAGTACAGAGGGTTATATCAATGGCAAAAGATCCCCGAAATTGAAAGTTATTCTGCAGGGCTCAATACTTGGTCTTTTCTTGTTTTTAATTATAAATTATTTGCTTTATTTCGTAAGGGATCATCACGAAATAATTTAGTTTCCTGATTACATTGCACTCTTGTTTAAAATTAAAACATGCTTACCACTAAACGACGATATTAACAATTCTATCGTTTAAGTAGTACATTGATTAAATGTGAACAATCTGCTCCTTAACGAAAGAACACAAAATGCCTAAAATCTTTATTGCCTAATAAATATTAAACAATATTTAATTTCCGGCACCAACCTACCAAAGTTGGGACAACATCCCATTCCCACTTAGACTTTTGTGTAAGAGATCTTTTATGAAGAAACTGAAAGTAGAGTAACTACAGAGACAAAAATTAAGTCTAGTAAATGTTTATTTATAATTTATTATTTCGTATATGAGTGTAATAATATTTATCTAATATTGTTTTTATTTATAACGTTGAATTATTTGTATAATACATTGGAATTACACTGTACTCTCACTCCACATTCACTTTGATGGCTACGCTAGCAACCAAACGACGACTAGGGTACAGCTGAAAATCAGTGTTTGTTTCCTATATGGAACATCCAACACTGAGCTGCATATGCCCTTGGGCTACTGCTTTACACTCTAATATCAAATCGTTGTCTGTTGTAATTTTTTATGTTTCTAGACAATAACTTATAATGCAGCAATAGTTGTGATTCAATAAACGATTTATCTATCTATCTAATATAAAAGATAAGAACATAGGCCTTGTGACTACCACAATATTTTAGAGATTTTAAACTTCAGTGGGGCCCCCATATTGATAAATTGTCAAATAGACTTTGCTCTGCAGCATATGCCGTAATGAAGATACGTAGATTAACTGATATAAATACTTGCTGATTAATATACTTCAGTAACATTTCATAGTGTAATGTCGTACGAAATCTTGCTCTAGGGAAATGCTGCATACATACAAACGATTTTTGTGCTTTAAAAAAAAGCTAATAAATCAATTTATAATCCTAGGATTCTTTAAGGGAAAATTTTAAAGAAATAGTCATGATTTGAAATTGACACGCTGTTCTCAATACATATACGAGAACTTAATGTACGTTCGTAAAAATATTAGTTTGTTTTTATAAAAAGTTTAGTAATAACTGTATGGTACACAATTTTGATACAAGAAATATAATAGATTAATGGTGCCTGTCACTAGACTGTAAAAAAAAATATATTATAAAGGGTCTTTGTATGCGCTTCTACAATAAGGTCCCAAGCAAAATACAACAATTTGATATCATGCAATTTAAATATTATACTTTTAAAAAAATCTTATTATAATATATCTGATTACAATATATCATAGATAAGAATGCTTGGACTTGTGATGATCCAGCAACTGGATAGATCTTGCTCGTTCATCTTATCAGCCAAAAGACGTCCTGATTGAGTGTTAGGGGAAAATGTGTTGAACGATTGAAAGTGATTAAGAAGTCTAATAAAGATTATTTTGACTTTTGGGCAAATTATATTTTTATGTATATTACAAGAACAGAGGTTTTTTTTAATAAAAAAAATGTATAAATACCTACACGTTATACTTACATCATTGTGCCTCAATAAATGTCTGATGAGTTGGCAGCCAGCGCGCGTAGCGGAATGTCCATGGCCCGTCGTCGAAAGATCCGTGTGCGAATACTTATTAGATGAAGGTTTTAGGTAATTAATTATGCGGCCTACCCACGCTCTATGGCTACTATCGTTCAGATTTAGCAACGGATTACTATCATTTTCCTACAACAAAAACAAACTTACTCAGTATCCGCTACTAAAGAAGCAATTAATTATATTTTAAATCATAGAAATACCTTCAAAATTGTTCTTATTATTTCCCAATTCCACGTGTTGCCATCCTTGTTTTGCATGACTAATGTACACCTTATCAAACTGTCACTGTCGCGTTCGAAAAGCTTCAGTCTATTCAGTTTCGCAGATTTCGTCACTTTACTAACAGCCGCACTGGTCCTAGAACTGACGCTTTTGCTTTTCACTAACGCGCCGACGTTCCTTGTTGCCACATCGGCACGTGAACCTATACTATGCCTTTGCTTCGGCTCGTTTTCGTTATCGGATTCATCCAAAAACTCTAAACTGTTGTCTTTATGTACAGTGGTGTCGATTTTGGGCTTCGCCATGTTAGCGTTATCTTTTTCCTTCCGGCTCTTAGTTGTATCTTCGATTTTTTCTTTAAATGCACCACTACAATACTGTATAATATGGTCTAGGAACAAACTGCTGCTTGCAGGCCTCGCTTCGAGCATTGAATGCAATCTTCGTAACGCTGCGATAGCCGCAAGTGCTTGAGGTTTCCCCGTTGACGCTTGAGACATCAACGACGGAAGGGCGGGGGAGGTACTACATATTTGTGATGGTAGAAAAAAGTGTATTAAATGTAATAATTGACCTAATAAAACTGTAGCTCTAACCGATATAAACGTGTCACTTGTAACTATCACTTCAGCTAATCCATCTAATAGTCCAGCCTGAAAAAGTTTATTTTTATTTTTACTATACTGTGGTAAATCATGAAATAATGAATAAGATAAAGACATACCTCAAGAAAGCATTGAAGTAATAAAGCGAGATGAATTTCACTTATATCGGAGCCGGTTGCGCTAAGGTGAGGTAAAATTGCTGTGCCTTCAGCAGCCACAAAACCCTCATTTAACCTCCAAGAGTCCTATAAGTAAAAAGGAGTATACATGAGTATGATGTAAATACTCTAGAATCTGTGCAAATCTGATGGAAGATCCATCAAACGTATCACATAGTACCCGACGGATCGGCCGTCCAGTGGGCAAGGTTGAATGTGATATCATATATTTATCAGTTCCGACCCTGAATCTAAAGCATGTTCACCGAACAGAAAGAAATCCGTACAAAACCCCATCATTACATCTCTTTCACTAGTGCGCAAACATATTGCTATTGCGCTCGCACAGATGCATCTAGCTAATTATAACTCAGTAAAGTGAACCTTAAAATGTTTACGATTTCAATCAGTTAGCACAAAAGCCAAAGTACGAAACTCTCTTTTCGGCGAACGTGCTATACAAGCATTCTTAGAACTTGTATACATGATAAAAACACGTTATGTTCTTGCCCAATTAAATTAGTTTAATAAACATAATGCAGCACAGAGAGGAGAACATGTGCAGAATAACAACTGTCTCGTAGTGAGTGTCTCATTTGCATGGTTTTTTCTTCCTACTTACTTGAAAATCAGATGGATCTACGGCATCTAGAGCAACGGAAATTTCGTCAGTCCATTCAGGCTGCGGCAATCCCACCAATTCATATAGCAGATCTAAAATAGCTTTCTGCAAATAAGAATATGTAATGTTATCGCACGGTATGTGTCATAATGATTTTATTTTTATGTTTTTATATAGAAAGTTCGGAAAAATAGCAGAGACTGGACAGTGATCGGCAGTTGAGACCGAGATGTTGTGTGTGAGAGGTGTTTCTATTAAGCAGACAGACTATTCTGTGGAAGTCCAGTTTGCGGCCTTAGTTCAGAGCTTTTGAAAGTGAATTGAAGTGAATTTCACAAAGGAGGTTCATCAGAAGACTGAGCTTCTTAAGGCGTGTTAAGGAAGGCTATTCAGTCCTGATTCTTTCTGCGATAATAAGAATTCACTATTCGGCTTCGGGCTCACACGATGAAGTATGGCAAGATTTAACCAATATCTATATCATTAATATCAATATATCTATATCATATCTACTATCATTAATATGATAGCTAATGAAATTGACATATTTAATTGTGGTCTGAGTGAGTTTACAAAAACTGCAAATTTTTTTTTTTACATATAAAATTAATTAAGAACAATATATATCATATAAAGCTTATTTTATATATAAAAAAGTATGGTCTTCAGTTAAGATAAGAAAAATTGTTAAGGTTTACTAGATCGCATTGGCTATAAGCTGTAATGATCGATGATATAAGTTGTTGATAATAAATAAATATCTTTGCTTTCCAAAGGTATAAGAGCCAACACAGGAGGCTTGAGCTACAGCGATGATGATGAGAAATGTTTTATTAAGTAGTGTTTATTCTGGCGTTATTGTGTCTACAATACTGTTCTAATGATACAAATTACACAAAGTATATTATATTATATTGTATATAAAGTGCAATATTATTATATGCCAGGACTTCGTGAGATGGATGAGTTAGATATACTGACCAATTTTTACTATGGGAGCAACACTGAATTCACAAAAAAATAATCAACTATTTCATACACAATTCTAATACCTATAACCACTAACAGTATGAAACAGCTGATTTTTTTTTCGTTTATTCAGTGTTGCTCCCATAGTAAAAATTGGTCAGTATACTTAACTCATTCACTCCACAAAGTCTTGGCATATAATAATATTACACATTGATAAACTTGAGTTGATAAACTAACTTGTGACCAAAATTTCGATAATATTTAATCCTCTCCTTATACGTTAAGCCGTTGATCCCGGCTGCATCTGCAGTCGTTAACACCCACAAAACCGCACTGAGCCCATGTGGTGGGTTATGGTCCGTTCCTGTGCCCTGGCAGTGAGCATATTGATATGGTGGTGAGATATAAAGACGTATAGAGCATCAGAAAATAATCATCGATATGTACTCACTCGGACCTCCAGTCGGGGTAAGTACAGAGCAGCAACAAGCGCGTGTAAGCCGCCAGAAATGCGAGGGTGACAAAAGTGCAATAAACCCGGCCAACTGCGCAACACACACAGTAACGCCAATCGGCTACAAGTAAATCGCATCTCTCGCTCATCCCTGCATTAAAGAAATATTCCAACATTATCAAATAATCCGCGTTAATTAATAATTTTTAATTACAATGTGAAGTTATTATGTGGGAGACGGAAGAGGAATTCTGAGAACATATTTTGAGTGGTAATGAGGAGCTTGAACAAACAGAAAAGGAAAAATGGAAAATGTTCTCATGATTTGTATGTTTACTGAAATAAAGAAATTTAATTTCCATTACATTCCTTACTAATTAGGAAAATGAGGAAGAAGAGATATTTTTTTAAATTGTAAGAGTTTGTAAAAGCCTCAGTGTTTAAAGTATAAGTTCAAGGTACGTGTTAGGATGAACAGGTGTTGTAATAAGTCTTACATGTACACTAAAATATGCTAAAGTAGTGGAAACACAAATACTCTAAAGTTGCATTAAATTCCTGCACTCGAGCATCATGGCTGGTTTTCACGAATGAAGTCGATAAGTAGTGAACTATATTGTTAACTTAATTATAAGTAATTAATGTGAGTTTATACGTACTTAAGCACTCAAAATTAAGTTAACTACTCATCAACATCATCATCAGTTCTTTTATGTCCCCACTGCAAGGACTCAGGCCTTCCGTATAGATTTCCGTCTATTCCGTATTATATTATTATTTTTATCAACAATTTTATTCAATTATTTTTATTATTTATATAAATTGTTTTTTTGTAATTTATATCAAGATAATTATTATGCACTAAAGTTTACCTGCTAGTATCTGTGCCAGCTGGTCGAAAATGGAAGTCACAGTATGGTGAACTGAGACATGTCAAGTCGATTCGAGCGGCTAGTCTGGACACAGGGTCGTTAAGCGTGTGCAATAGGACGCCGCAGAGGGCCTCCGCCATGTGAGGCGTAGCGCACTCGGCCAGTTGTCTAGTAACAGCCGTTACACCACCACACGATATGAAAAGCTCCGGATTTAACACACCTATACAAATAAATAATGCATATAATATGGCTACTAGATAGTTATAACAATAAATTATGAAATATGTTAGAAAAGGTAGAATATGTAAATGTGCAAGATTTTTTTGTTTTAAAACATACTTATTGTATTTTTGCAGAATTAACTGACAAGAACCGAAACGTGGGAGGCCATCACTGAGCGTAGTGTGACGTCACATTTCAATAAACTATACGTCAACGTCTTTTAAAAATATGTTTTTCATTTATTTGATAAAACTTTTTGTAGAAAACTTAATATGATAGTAGTTTAATATTATCATGTGAAAGTTTTAAAATACTTTTCCGAAAATATTCACGTAGCCAATAATAAAATATAACAGCTGAGGAGAAATATAACTGTGAATAATAGGTGAATATCTGCAAACTATATAGATAAAACGAGATGTAACCAACACATTACACATAGCATGACAAGCTCGAGAAATGCTTTGTCATATATCGTATGGGCGCACCCGAGAAAAGTTTCGTTTAGTTAGGTGTAGACAAAATGCTCTCGAGTTCGTCATGCTATGCGTATTGACTTGTGCACTACGGATTGATGGTAATTAACAATTAAAGTAACAGCTGGGACTTAAGCTTAACATGTTTTCTGAAGAATGGGGAGCTTTTATTAATACATTTTTAACCTTTAAAATTTCACTTAATCTGCATAGGTAGACTACTGTGTCATCGAGGCCTTAACTGAGATTAAAGAAAACATTTAGAATATCAAATAATATACAATCAAAATTAACAAAATTTCATACATATTTCAGCTAATGCAGCAATAGCAGGTCTTGAGAGCCTATCCCCTGTTCCATCAACGGTGTTCCCTGATCGTGTTACCGCTATGAGACACCTAAGTAGGCCTTGGTCGATATATAGCGATCGATAACGCTGCGTAGGCTGACCAGTCGCGGCACCAACCACAGCAACTACTCGACGAATAACTCGAAGTGCTTGTGCTCGCTCTTCTTCATTTCGAAGCATTAGGTCTATGGATCTAAAAAAAGCAGCATATAACAAACACTCTAAAATATTATCAGTAAATGGAATGGAGAAGTAGTGAGCAATTGAGCATATTTATCATATCTCAAGTAATACTCCACTTGCTTCAGGCTTGAGTAAAAATATTTATCAGTATAGCATTGTCAATGCAAAATTGAACAAAAATAATAATTATAAATACAGGTGTGTCACATTGTCTATTATTTCAGAAAGGGTAACCAATCTATTTATTCCCAAGGTTTTAGTCCCAACTGTAATATGCTTATTAGGGTCCAAAACTCGTTAATTTAACTGCCAAAATAAAATAAAAAAACTGGTGAACGCGAGTTGGATTCGTGCACAAAGAGTTTTGAACCATTATCAATGCAAAAATTCACAAAATCTATATAATTATTATTCTGTGAAAATTTTATCTATCTAACTATCACGGTTGGACGGACACCGGAGTCTTAGTAATAGGGTTTCCGTTTTTACCCTTGGTACCAACGGAACGAAAGGATGAACCCTAAAAAATGGTTGGGTACGTCAGAGGGCGCAAGCAAGTAAAATACATTTACATTACAGAGATAACAAACCTCAGTTGTACAACTGAGGTTATAGCTGAACAGCAATTATAATTCGCTTCACAGCATAATATAAGATATTACAGTTTCACATTAGCTTAGGGGTGATACACAGTTATGTCACACATATTTCGGGAGTAGCTTGGTAGCGTAGTGGATTAACGACGCGGCCGGCGATAGTTGTTGTTTCCCAAGGGTCGGTCATGGGATGGGTGACCAAAAAAAAATATTATCTCGAGCTACTCTATGCATTGGAAGGAACGTTAAACTGTTGGTCTGGGCTGCATTTGCTGTCGGCAATAACAATCCGCATAAAGCCAGCGTGGAGGGTCATGACCCATTCGCCACAACCATCCATCAGGATGGCCACAGGCCCTACAGTGGGGACAGTTATTTACGTAGTAATTTTTATACATTCCCTAGTGTGTTTTTACATATTATGCACTACTACATGTTTTCCCACTTCACCTGCATCAATTATAGTCTATGTCACCCATGCAATCTATGGTTCAGAAGTTTTGTGAACCTATTTGTATTTTTTTTAATACATAATAACTTGCAACATTCATTTATTTACGTAGTATGTGCTTTCAACTCTTTACCTTACATTAATACCTACAAATTGGACAGCACACATTAACGATAAGTTAATAATATTATTAAAATATTCATCTTGATAGTCATATGAATCATGAATGACCTCCGTAGCCGAGTGGTTCGCACACCGGTTTCAAGGTGTCGCCATCTCTGAGGTCCCGGGTTCGATTCCCGGTCGGATTAATATAGAAAATGAACTTTTCTATATTGTCTCGGGTCTGGGTGATGTGTGATCTTCGTTGTCTCAGATACTCCATAATACGGGGGCTTTAGCTACTCATCTTGGAATCTGAGCAATGTATGCGATTTAAAAAAAAATATATATATATATAATTTTCATCATTAAATTGAAATTGAATAACAATAATTATGTAGTCTTTGGATAGCATATTTTATATTTTGAAACATAACTGGCACATAATTTAATTTAACACAAATCATAATATAACATACAATGAGTTTGTAACACAGTACAGCAAATCAAAGAATTTAAACAATAAAACATATATACATATAACACTTCAGTATGTATGTATTATAATCAATGGGTGATTCTTTTTTCTTACCTAGTGACAAGGTATGGCAATTTCAAAGTGTTAAATGTTGCTACATCACTTTCAGTCTTTATTAAATACCGTAGAACCCGTAATGCTGCTGCTCGGATTACCATAGATTCATCAACTAAACTTATGCGAATGCTGAAATAATTACAATTGAAATTAAAACCACAAACAAGTTCCCTTTTCAGACTTTTCATGTAAGCTTTTCATTTGTTAAAACTTTAAACTCCTAAATTCAAGCATTGATATATACAGGAAAAATTTGCCACCAGTGCACAAATGACATGGCTGGAATTTGGTTAGATCTGTGCCCAAAAAAATATTCATGTACATTGACATACTGTGGGTTATATTAAAGCTTATAAGTGTGTCTTTGAAAAATCACAAATTATATATCTGAAAAAAAGTGAGAGGCACCATATCAATGCTACAAAAATTAATACTTTAACATGTCTATTATCTAGTTATTTACGTAGATATACCTATAAGTATACCATGTTAAATAAACCAGATGTAAATTATATTCAATCAAAACAAAATAATTAATATTAAATCAAAATATATGTCCTCATAATAAATATCTAATCTTGTAAAATGCCAATTACAATATAGATACACCTATACATGATATTGTTCAAACACAAAACATTGCTTCAATGAAATTCAATTTGAATATTAAATTTTATAAATTAATGTTTACTAACATTTTAATTATTCATTTTAACAATTGGACATACTGCTTGTATATTTACAAAAATCTGTCATGAACCTGTGGGTACAGTAAGTACATTAGAAGTATCAACATGCTTACAGACTTTTTTCGTTTTTATCTCAGCTGTTTAAAATAAATTAAATAAAAAAATTGTATTAACACAATATTAAATTTTGTGCACTGTATACAATTATCATGTTTGCTTTTACTTAACTTTTATCAAAATTTCTCATTCTACAAAATATAGCTAGATGGCACTCATATTTTAAAAGGTGGCAAACACCTTTTAAAATTATATTACAATATAATACATACATATTGCTTTAATTTTGAAACATTGAAATGTACCAATAATACCAATAATTTCATACAATCATCATTCCTTGTTCACATTTTTAACATTTTATATGAAAGTAGATTATTGAGAGGTGAAAGGCTAATTGGTTAAAGTCATTTTTAGCAATACTGAATTATATCCAAATTTGAAATCAGCAAATACTGATTTATAAAAAAGAAATGCCAAATGTTGAATTGTATAACCATAGCTAGGGAATACACTACAATATATTATTCAACAATTCCCAACATTTCAACAATTGGTTATGAACTATTTATAATGTATTCTGTAATAAAATTAATAATCATTTCAATTTTATTTTGTAAGCAATTGAATTTACTTACCATGTCATGAGTTCATCACTTGTAAATCCTAAATTACTTCTATCTTCTTTACAAAGTGTGACTAAGGCATATAAGTAGGACAATCTACGGCTGTCAGAACTATTTCTCTGAGCACCCCTAAGCCCAAATTTGGAATCAGATGGTATATTTTTATTGGTGGGGGAAACATCATTTTGAATTGTTTTCTTTAGATAAAGCCCTTGAATTATTTCTTTAATGTTTTCTTCATTACTTTTATTACTGTCTAACTTAAATAAATTACCACTCTGTTTGCCTGAAAATTTAACGTACAATGAAAATTAAACATAGCTGTCAATTTCGAGAAAATCACGAGAATAGTGTTACTAAACATACGAATGTTTGGAAATATTTACCTTTCCTACGACTCAACCAATTCTCGTAGGCCATTATATCATTTTTTTACACAAACACCAAGTGTGTGGGAGATATTATATAACGTCCAGTTATAGTAATATAATAAGACATCAATACTATACTGTTAATTAAAATAAATTAAAGAGACAGACGAATTAAGTTAAAAATAATTCAACCCTGTTTTCCTGTAACTATTTTTTGACATTAGGCCGTGCATGCCTCGCAAAGAGTAAAGTATTGATGCTTCCACAGACAACTTAGACCATATCAATTACAGAACAAAACCAAGTACAAATAGTCTAATAAAATCGAGTACATCCGTAATGTAATTAACTAGCTAAGTCACATCACTGGTCGACGGAGTCAGCTCAAAGTAATGTAAACTACAGTATTTATAAAATAAGAGGTCCCTTTTGACACTTTAAAAACATGACAGATCATAACATTGTACGTAATCGACGTAATGGGAAATAAAGAGGAAGTATTTAAAAAAAAAATAAGTTCCCGAAATCAAAGTAGATGTCGCTACGGTACGTTCTTGATTTCTCCGTGACAACAATTCCGGTTTTCTTTCATGTATAAATTAAATTAGTTTTTAAAATTCAATAAACAACTCATATTCTATTTGTACTTTTTCGTATTTGTATTGATGTCTAAGTTTCGTACTTTTCAAATTTCAGTTTTTTAATATGTTACTTTAAAGGAACGGAAATGACTGTCTTCGGTCCATTCGTTTCCTGCAAAAATCAACTTTTGCTAGAGTCGCCTAAATATTTTTTTTCAATTCACACTCCAACTTCTCTATTCACTAATAACACTTCACAACACCATTAGATCGTTCACCACTCTAGTTATCGCTTCGAGTTTCGCTTCTGAACGCTTTTGCTTCCAGATCGCTTGTTCACTGAAAAATTCCGCTCACCGCGTATTTATAGGGGCCGAGGAAACACGTAAAATGTTCTAGGTTAGGACCTAGAGCATTCTAGGTGTTTCCTTGGCCCACTTAAAGGTAGAATTAAATGAAAAGCTTTTTCAAACAACCGTAACTTAAAAAAAACCTTTTTATTGAAAACATCAAGAAGAACAGAGTCAAAAAATATTAAACACCAAGTTGTCATTAATAAAAATTATAAACCTTTTGCAAACCCATAAGTTTTTTTCTGCAATAAAGTGCTAAAGGTACTTGAACAGTGTATTTATTAGGGGTTAAAGTATGATTACAGCTCGATGGCGTAGTGGATAAGCGACGCGGCCCGCGATCGTAGTCGTTAAGCAACTTTCGCAAGGGTCGGTCACGGGATGGGTGACCAAAATATTATTATCTCGAGCTACTCCGTGCTTCGGAAGGCACGTTAAGCCATGATCCCGGCTGCATTTGCATCTATAAGGAAGGTCTGAGCCCCTGCAGTGGGGACGTAAAAGGGCTGGTGATGATGATGATTAAAGTAGGAAATTGCCATTTTATTGTAATAGGTTCCTTGAATTGATATAGAATCTTAATAGTTAGAGGTTTTCAAAAGAAATTTTTTTTCACATGGTTTCTATGTTGTTCTTATTTTAAAAAAGTGAAACATTTGTATATCGATTATCCATTGTTTTTGTTATTGCACTTAGACAAGAAAGATGGATACTGCGAAAATTCGAGTGATTTTTGAATACGAGTTCCGACGCAGAAGTAACAAGGCAGAAACAGCAATATTAATGTTACGTTTGGCGAGGGGTCTGCTAATGAACGCACCGACTGCCCACTCAGGAGAATAACGATGAATTAAGAGAGATGGTGGAAGTTGAACTAGGATTCAACTTATCTAATTTTGGTCGCGGTTAAGGTTTTACTACCGATGTATTCGAGGCATTACCAAAAAGTTCTAGAACAGCTACCCGTCACTTTCTTACCCACTGACTATCCCTTTCACCGACCCAATTTGACTATGACACAGGTAGGTTCAACAGTGTTAACGCGATTCATTAGCTTATAACGTCATATAGTAATGCGTGACAGACCGCGCCGCTTCGCTCCGTAACAGTATTATTATAAATTATATCTGTCAAGTTATATCAAGTTTGAGTTCGAGGTATTTACCCTATACTGTAAAAATAATTATTTAAATATTGATAAAAGATAAAAAAAAATAATTAGGAAATGAAGTTCAGTCATTGTTTGCCCTATATTAAGAGGTAATTTGTTATTGTTGATTAAATAAACTAAGAAAGTGTAACGATCGAGGTTTTACCCTAATTTTTTAAATGTTTTGAATATTTTTATGTTTGTTTACATTACAGTACTGGAAATCGTGTTAGTTTAAGATAAAAATTGCAAAACTTGTATTTCGATTGTCGGGAAGTTTGATATTTGATTATTTTTTCTTGTGTTGTGGAATTGAATCAATATGACTGTTCTTAGGCATAGGACTTAGTCTTACCCAGCATTTACTTAGAGTCTAAACTTATCAATAATGGCAAATACTATAACATTTTCAAGTATTTGCTTCAGTGGATAAAGATTTGTATTTTTTTTTTCAAATAATCTTGTTATTGGAGTAATTCTTATTTTAAAATGGAAAAGAGATTTCTATTAAACAAAAAAAAAATGAAATCATGCACGCACGACACACAAACTCATTTTATAATCGATTTTCAAATAATAATTTATGTTATCGAATTTGTACACTACACTACAATCACATGTGTCAAAAGCGACCTCTTATTTTTTGAAGACTTTGATATTATAAAGAGGAAAGTTTTAATTGTTTATTTCTTGGCATCAAATAGGCTCCGAAACTACTGGACCGATTTTAAAAATTCTTACACCACCGGTACACTAACGAAACACCCCGTTTTCAGATTGCCTAAGGTTACTTACGACTGCAATCGCACTTTTGGTTGACGTTAAGCGCTCCTCACCTGAGGTATTCATTTTACGTGCTGGGATACTTGCTCCTTAACCTATATCATACATCATCTCCTTTTTGGCGACAAGTTGATGTATGTATTTTGATAGATAGATAGATAGATCTATCAAAATAAAATGTTTTGAAGTAATGATCTGAATTAGTGAAGTTGATACATCAACTTCACTAATTCAGATCATTACTGTTACTTCAAAACACTATTAGATTGTCCATATAGTTTACAGCATTAGTTAGCGCTTCGAGTTTCGCTTCCGATCGCTCCCGTATTCAGTCCGCTCAAGCTAGTCACTGAAAGAATCCTAGGACGGGTCTACCGCTTGTTTATAGTGGTCGATACACATTTCTTGTCACCTATGAGAAGTTGATGGATGCATTGGAGGTACGATATTGTGATGCGTACCTAGAATATGTGTTCTGGACTCAAATTAAGGACCGAGTCCAACGGAGTGGCGAGAGCTTACAGCAGTGAGCTCTTGAGATTGAGAAACTTATCCGGAAAGCATACAGGTCAAATTATACTCAGGGCGATGACATGCTCAGAGTTGAACCGTGACTTGGAAATGAGGGCTGCTGTTAGATGAGGACATCATAAGACGCTGAAGAATGCCTTAGCTCATGCTCTAGAAGTAGAAGTAGCGCGCAAAGACGATCGCAGTCATCCTGTACGGGATGTAGTTGCTATACCACAGCGATCGTCAACTACGTTTCACCACAAAATATTTTGTGGTGTTTGGTTGAGGTGGTTAGGGGTGGAGAATTGTCTCTCCTTTCTTTTTTGTTGTATGTGCCACGCACACTGGTACATGTTGCATATGGCATTTTTAGTACAGTGCTTAGTACCACGTAAAAAAAATGGTCATCCATCTTATTCACAGATTTAACGCACTAACCACTCGGCATTACTCATCAAGCCCGAGTTTAGAGCCCCATGTGGATTGAAGCGCTAAAGCACATATAATCTTAATGGATTAGAGCCAACCACCCAACATTCCTCACTGGGCTATCGTAAAAGTCCCAATGAGGATTAGAAATGCTAAAACATAAATGTTCTTAATGCATGAAACCATTCCACCTAGCATTCATAACTGGGCTCACATGGAGGTCCAAATGAGGATCGGTGGTGCTAAGCTCAGAATTTCCTCAGATGACAACGTGGACAAAGAGGTCGTCTTAAATCGTACCGATAAAAAAAATTTACCATCCATCCTATTACCGGCCTTTGCGATTGTCGCTAAATCTCCGTTATCACACATCAAACACGCTAACCACTACACTATCAAGCATTTCATATAGGAGGGATATTGTCATATTTTTTGTCAAATTGAATATATTTTGATGAACTGATATCACTTCTCGATTTTCTGAACTGTAAATGGAAAGTAGAGAAATCCGGTCGAGCCCTCATAGCATGAGTTCGATTTGTGATTGATATTGACAGATTATGTATACTGTCTGAATCGAAATCGATATCGAATTTCACAAAAAGCCTCTAACACATGCAAGAATTTATATAAATTTTTGTAATGTAATTTATATAAATTCTTGCATGTGTTACGAACCTTAGTGGTTTACATGATGCAAGTAAACCAAATTATGTTAACCACAAAGTTTGTTGATAATTAAATAAATAAAAAAAAATATCTAAATAAAATATAAAAATATATTTATTGTAACAAATTTTTTAACAAGATAATTGCGTACGATAATAGCCGCAGTAGTTAAAAAACTGAACTGTATGAAAAGTCTCATTTAATTAAAAAGTTATTGTCGCCCTATTAGAAAGGGACAAATAGCCCCTGTACTTGATATTTCGCTCAGCTCGCTTTTCAGCTGGAAGTACTCTATTCTACTAAATAACCAATATAGTAATAACAAGTAATAATAAGCTTATGCTCACACTTGGCTGGGTTATTCATATACTTTCATACATTCGCTGGTTTTGTTTCATTCCAAAATTATTTTGACTTTATTTGCTATCTTTCCAATTCTGATTACAAAATTCTATTTCATAGACTAGTTTTTTAATGACTGCGAGATCGGTACTATCTAATAGATGTTAATGGAACACATTTTTAATCATAGTGAGGTGAAGCGTCGCAGATTCGTTTTCATAGTGAAGGATTGTAAAGTGGTTTTGTGGTCGTTGTAAAGGTTGCGCAGCGCAACAAATCGTACGAAATAGTGGTGGAGTTGAGTTTATTTATTGAATCGACACTACCAAGCCAATTCAATCTTCGATATTGTTTAGAATTCACTCTCATCACTTTAAAAATCCGAAAATGCAAGAACCGCGGCATGATTCCATTGACATGAAATCATGTAGAATATGTTTGGTAAATAGAAAACCTTTGTGCCCACTTTTCAAATACAAATTATCAGGCAATTATGCTGAAATGTTAACGGCTGTTGCAGATGTTAAGGTAAGAATCTGAATAACTTTAAAAGCAAGATGACAGGAATGTCTCATTCTTCTTTTCGTACTATATTTTGATGAATTCAAATAGATTCAAAATAACCAAAGTTTTTGCTGTGTAATTATTGAACTATTGCTATACTTGTTTTTGTGTTCAGTCTAAAACACAGCTTATATTTTCATTTTAATAAATTCTTCAGGTATGTGCAAATGATGGTTTACCAGAGAAAATCTGCCAGAAATGCTGTTTGGCCCTGGAGAAAGCTTACCTTCTAAAGACTGTGGCTGAAAGGTAAATGGTAAAATAATTATGGATAACATAGATCCTGTAAATGATTTTATTGAATTTAATTTGATGAATACTGAAATATTTTGATTATACTTTCTTCACTAATTTAGTAATGTCACAATTACTGAACTGCTCACTCATTCTATATTATTATTATTATATTTATTTTTGTACTAAAACTTTGTGCGTAAGTTTAACTCACTTTTTTCATGAAAAATGAATACAGTATAGTTGTAGAATAGTTGCCGGCATGTGCCAGAACTAATTGATAAAATAGGCTTCTATTCTATAATAACTAGGCAAGATTAACTGGTTACTAGGTAAGTTTAAGTAGAGAAAAGAGCAGTCCTTGCTGAGTTTCTTGTCAGTTCTTCTCATTATAAGGTTGTAGTTTTCGACATTTACAAATGGTCATAACAGTATAGACTGAATAAATGAAATTGAATGTAGTATATAAATAATTTAAAATCTACCTTTGATAGAGTTTGATTCAAGTGGAAGTTTAATTGAAATAAAAATGTATGATTCTATTATATATGCTAGTTGCATCATATATAAATTGCCTAAGGTTTTGCTCCTAAATCTTCTGCGCAAATCCACTTTTCTCTTAATTTTTTCTTAATTACAGTAATTTTTTTAATTTTTCATATTGAAATTGCCTTAATTTTCCAAATTATCAACCTATTTAAAATTTCAAATTTTTAATTTGAACTAAAATTAGTTTCTTTTTTTATTTTCTAATGGCCTCCTCTTGTTTCTTTCAAAACAATATTTCATCTATTTTTGAAACTCACTTTTCAATTATTTATGACTCTAAGGAGGTATGACCTGACACATCATCCAATGAATATACTGGGTGCAACAAAATGACCGACACAGCCGAAAGAGAACAAACAGAATAAGGCCTCAATTCTTTACTAATCCTTTCTAAAGTAGGGTTTATTTTGTGTGTAGCAAAACTTGCCAATTTAAATTTTATTTTTTACATTACTTTAATCACACATTTTTGTTTATAGGAATGACAGAAAACTTAGGAGGATCCTAGAAAGGGCCAGTCAGCATGTTCCAACAAAAAAAATTGCTTTTGATTCATTTACTGACATAAAAAGTGAGATAGGACCCTTGACTATCAAATCTGAACCTAAATGGGAAATGGAAATTGATGTCTTGACTGATGGCAACACAAAACCTGTAGAAACCATTGATGGAAAGGATATTGTTATTGCTAACACAGTTATAAGAAAAGTAGATGGAAATTTGGAAGAAACAAAACCTGATTTATCATCTGATGAAGCAGATGTCACTTGGAAAACTACCAAAGCTAATTCAGATGACCTGGAGGTAAATACAATTATAATATACAAGTGTGTATGGAATGAAAATATTTTTAATTTTTAAACGACTTTAAAAAAGGAGGAGGTTCTCCATTCGACTGTATTTTTTTATCTGTTTGTTACCTCATATCATTTTACTGGGTGCTTTTTTTGAAAGCTAGTGCTTTTTTTCCCATTTTAAGCTGGTAATGGCATCTATGAGAAAACCATAGAAGTCAAAATTTGTATACTTAATGCGTGACGTTTGTTACCCCAAAACTCAAAATATCACTAAAATGCATGAAATAAAAACTTAAAACATAAATGGAACTGACTTCGAATTTAAAAAAGTCAAAAATAATACTTAAAAGTGGTCAAATTTTTAAGAAACATTGAAGTCAGGCTGAGGTTTTCTGTAGTTAACTAAATATTAACCACACAACTTCAATGTTTCTTAAAAATATAACCTCTTTTAAGATAAGTATTATATATAACTTTTAAAATTTGAAATTGGTTCATTTTTGTATCTTTAATTACAGACAGAATATTTGGACGACGATGTGTTTCAAGATGACGATGATGATGATTATGTGCCACCAACAGAAAAACCCAAGACAAAGTTTAAAAAACCTAAGTTGTCTGATATTAAGGTATTTAAGGGTAAGAGAACAATTGTTAGAAAAGTTAAAGTCATCAAGAAGGTTAAAGATGACTATGAGGGTGAAAGGACTCTTGTAGCTACTACAAAGGATGGTAAAACCAAAACTACTATGATAACTTGCTGTGAGTGGTTACTTATTTTCTCTAATATTTTCCATAATATTAATAATATAACTCTAACATAAGTATTTTGCAAGTTCATTGACCTTAAGAACTGTTTAATTACTCTGTAAATGTCTTTAATAAAAATGCTTAAAAAATCCACCAGCCTCAGATGCCCTGAGTTGGGAATTTTTAAAACACTTGTTACTTTCATCAGTCCTGTTGAGTCTCACGTAGCTCAATGGTTTGCAAAAGGTTGTGGTTTAGAGTGCCATCTCGGGGATCGGGGATTTTTTTAAGCATTTTTCATTAAGAATGCTTTTCAGTATATCATTGTGAATGTGAAATTGATGAAATACAATAAATATAATTCTCTTTTAATTTTATTTTCAGATCCAATTATGAAGAATGGCTCTAGAGGGCCACCTATACTTCTAAGGAGACCTAAAGATGCAACAGTATTGAAAGTACATCCTAATTACAAGGTTAAAGGTTCTTCATCTTCTGAGACAAGTAAAGTTGTGCACCGTGATAAAACAGTAAGGATGGTGAGAAATGCCAAGCCCATTGTGAAACAGAGAGAAAAATTAGTTTGCCCAATTTGTGGAATACTTACTTTTACTTTGGGGAACCACATTGCTACGCATCAGGGTTGGTATATTTTTTTAAGCTCATCATTAAAATAAACAGTGTTATGGATATAGACAACTGTGTTCCTCTATTTTCATATGTTTTCTCCATTTCACTCCAATGGAGAATTTTCCAAGAGAGAATTTTAAATTGACAACATGTATTGTAATTGTAATGTGTTATAATGAAGCTCAAAGTTATTATTTAGTATGATATATAAAGATGTAGTGTAACTCTGCTTTCTTTTTTATTTCAGAGAAAAAGAAATTTTCATGTACTCAATGCCCAAAGACATTTTCTCAAAAAAGTAACCTTATTGCACATGCTAAGCAACATTCTGGCGTTAAAGATCATATATGCGAAATATGTGGAGCCGGTTTTTACAGTCAAAAATCTTTAGTCAGGTAAGTGTATGCTTATGGAATATTATGAAATTGGCTGCCATCAATTGAAATATAATAAGATATGATCTAATAAATGGTAAATGAGCCAGAATTTGAAAGAAAAAATTGGGTGAATATGTATATGTCGCAACTTCTTCTATAAGATGCTCTAACACATAAATAGCATAATAATTGTTAGCTGTAATGCCGCTTAATAAAGTGTTCTTCTTCTTTTTAATTAATGGCGTTGCCTTTGTGGATTTCGCCAGAATCGAGTGTTAAAATTATAGAAATTTATTGTCATATTAGTTAATACATCTGTTTTTATTTTCAGACACAATTTAATTCATAAAGGCGAGAGACCCTTCCCATGCAACCTCTGCAATAAGAGATTTATTGCTGTAAGTATAAAATATGCTTACAATTAGATTTTTATTACAAGCTTTTTAACCAAAATCACTTGTAATAATTGTTTTATAGATAGATATAGAAATAATTTTAAAATATTTCCAGTCCCTGGTGCCCGAAATACAGCTTTCTATAATATAATTTATTACTTAAAAATATTTCGCATTCATAATTTATAGTGTAACGCAGAAATGAATTTTCATATAATATAATATTTAATCATAAACATTGCCAAAAAAATATAGAAGCGTGAATTTAGTTATCAAAACAGTTAGATTTTCAAAACTATGTAAATTTTGCAAAGTGGTTCTATTTAGTGTTTTGAATTAAGATCCCACAAAACGGTTCTTCCAGAACATACATACTTTTTTTATTGTTTCAAATTATGTTCTATAACATATGCATACATCGTATAGGTATATTCTAAACAACTCTAATCACTAGAACATTGATTTCTAAATTTGAACTGACCCCGAAACTACTGGATCGAATTCTAAAATTCTTTCACCTATGAGAAGCTACATCATACGCCGGTGACATAGTCGCGAGAAACTAGCTAGTGTCAAATAATCGAATATTTTGGATTTTTATTTAGCTGAATAATTTTATTTTAGCTGACCTGACAGACATTGTCATGTCTTAATTATGAAATTTTGCAGCATGCATTCTGTCTATTCTATGTCAACCGTCTTAAAAAAGTTTATATTATCCAAAGCAATAAGGTTGGATAAGAAATAATTTTATGTGATGGTTAAACATTCTTAATTTTTCAATTTTTTCACACGATTTAATATTTTTCTTTCATAAAAAGCCATTCACATGTGATGGCGTGACCAAGGGTAATATAAATTATACAGTGGTGGCTATATAATTAAGAATGATTTGTAGTTATATAATGTTTTAAATGAAACTTGATTTATTGTTTTAAAATATTACTTTTTGTAAGTATTTACTTACCAAAAAGTTTATTAAACTAAAGTAAGATAGACATAAAATTAGTAACTTTTTTTTTTGTTGTAAAAGTAGGTATTTATTGTGGACAGTATTATAATACTATAATAACCTACACAGGTATGATGAAGAAACAGAACAAATAATTAGAAACGATATTCTTAGGCTAAATGTTTAAAATAAAATACAGAGTAATTATATTGTTATAATATAAAAAAAATGTACATTAAAAAATAAATTAAGCATATTTTGAACTAAAATTAATATTTGGTCGCATGGCCACGACTATGGTTGCTACTGCCATGTTTTAAAGTCACCTTAGTAAACTTAGGGTCAAATGCCTTATTCTATCAGATTACACTTTATTAATTTTCGTTTCGTGAGAAAAAAGTACATTTGATCACCGTTTAACCATCCAGGTTTCATACATATTTGCAAAGGCGAGCCGGGCTCGCCTATGGCACTGTTTTAGCACAGGTATCTATGTTTCTATTTTGCCGTACAACTTTTCTTCTATAAAACGCTTTCGAATAGTGCGTGCCGAGATTCCAGAGAGGTTTAATTTTAAGGCAAGAAAACGTGTTTATATTACCAAAATATTTGTTTTATGGCTTTTTAAAATTAATATGAATAGTTGGAAGTATTATTTCAAACGGAGTTTTGTTTACACTACTAAATGGCGCCAGTTTTATGAGAAAATAGTATAACCATAGAGTGTTCTTTGTTTGAATTTTAATAAAAAGATAAATAGTTTGCACTCTTAATTATATCACCAATCAGTAAGAAGTAATTCTTAGATAAGATTATACGTTTGCCTAATTAATCCTTTTTTTATTTGTGGTTTATTAAATCTAATTAACAGAAGAAAGTACCAACAAGGTAGAAAGATTTTGGAGTACCACAATAATAAAAAAAATATACAGGCAACAAGCTATACGTTTTTTTAAGTAAATGTTCTTTTTTAAAGGGTGCGTTCGTAACTATTTGGCCACCACTATATATATATTTATTATAAGAAGGAAAGATTTGATTATTTGTTTGTTTGCATCGAATAGGCTTCGAAACTACTGGACCAATTTCAAAAGTTCTTTCACTTATGGATACCTACATCATACGCGGGTGAATCTATAGTTTACTTAGGCGAAGTTGCGAGAAACCCAGTATCCGATAACTACTAATATTATAAAAAGGAAAGATTTGATTGTTCGTTTGTTTGCTTGCATCGAATAGGCATCGAAACTACTGGATCGATTTTAAAGAGAAATCCATATACGGGAAGAAAGTAATCGAATATTTTGGATTTTTATTATAAATATCGGATTTTTTCGAACCCTGTTTCAGCGTTGCGATCTGACCCGTCATCTGCGCATACACTCTGGTTACAAACCTTTCAAGTGCGCCACATGCACGATGTCATTCAACGCGAAGCACCAGTTGCAAAACCACGAGCGTATGCATACCGGCGAGCGGCCCTACACATGTCAGGTGCGTTACCAAACTTTGATATCGATCTATTGTTCCGCAGGGCACAGCGTTACGCCGCCATATGGAAATCCATACAGGCTACAGGAGGTTCGTCTGTGAGATATGCTGTAAAAAATTTACACAAAGCACTCACCTGCAGAATCATATGCTCACCCATACGGGTCAGAAACCGTTCTCTTGCGAGGTCAGTTCATTAAAACTGCTATTTTTAAAAACTGATATATAAAACTGTTCAGGTATTGATGTCAGAGCGCGGTTGGGGACTATAAGTGTGCCAGAATCAGGTGGCAATTCGGGACATTTGTAGCTACATGTCTTGATACTAATATTTTTATTAAAACACTTTTCGATAACTGCTTCATAGCATTGAACATACTCCTGACCATATTCCTATCTCGTTAAAATTTTGACATAGATAAGCTATGTTTTGGATATACTATGTGGAATATAGTGCACAATCATAACACCTGTACACTATATTAGCAAAATCTTATATTTTATTATATTTGATCAACTTCGCATTCACAATGCTATACTGAAAAAGTGCAGTGCTATGCTTAAAAAATCCACCCATCTCAGAATTCCAGAGACAAAGTAGATTTTTTAAGTATTTTTCATTAAGAATATCTTATATTTTGATGGGACAGCACCTGAAACCCAATAATATTATACCTGACTCGGAACTGAATCAATAAAATAATCTTTACTTTATGGATTTCTTTATTTTTAATCTCTACTATAATATTGCAACTGCTGTTTTGCTTACACATGTAAATCAAATCTGCTTTAGTTTTTTTTCTCTTTTCATGGTTCCTATTTTTACCCAGTGTAGAAAAATGTCTTAATATCTTCTCACTCACTAATAAAATTAGTTTTATTGTATAGGTATTTATTAATTGATTCTTTAGAAAAAAATAAGTATCAAGACCCATCATTGCTAGTTACCGGTCAATTCAAAACACACTTTAAAATAATAAAAAAAAATCGTTGATCTTCTCTTATTTCACAAATTTTGCTATTAACATTAAAAACAAAATTTCTCACTTGAGATATCAATGGCTTTTTGTATATATTCATAAAACGAATTAAGATTTTCACAAATATTTTCAACAATTTACATTTCGACTCGACAGTTGTCAGTTGTAGATAATTTATATTGCCATATAAAAATCTATGTGGTTTCTTTCTTTTGTGCCATCAGTTTCTGGTACCTATAGTAAACTGTAAATTTTTAAATGTCAAAATGTATCCGGGATACTGCGAAAAAGAACTAACAATCATTTTGCCTGATTCGAGCCCTCGTAACATTGTGCCTCTCCCCTCTCTCGCCCTCGTAATGTTGAGCTTGATTTCTTTTGCACCACAGACATTTGTTTGCCTTAGAAATAGATAGTGCTAATATCAAGTTAACGCAATCCGAAATGTAATAGATTATAGACGATAAAGTCTTTTGTGATTCGTTTACGGATTATATTGAAGTGAATATATGACAAAAACAGATATATGGTTTGAATTATGGTACATATATAACTTAACATCGGCTCCAGATATGTTTTTATATACCGAATGCCTATGGTAAATATTACTGACCTTCCTTACGGATAGAAGACTCAGGAAGAATAGGTCATAACACACACAACGCAAAGAATAGGACATAATCTTTACCGCCTATTACTGTTCTGTACAATCTAACTGGTTGACTGGGAGAGAATGCCTCTATGGCATTAAGTCCGCCATTTGTCCTTAGTTAGGCAATAAAGAATAAATAAATAAACGCAGCCTAGTGCGGATTGGTCGGTTTTACGACTGCAGATGCAGCCGGAACCAAAGATACAAAGTGCCTTTCGTACATAATTGAATCTAACGATAACAGCTTTTTGTTACATTTAAAAACTTTTTAGTGGAATTTAATTGTGTCAGTTTCTAGTTTGTAGATCAGTTAGTTCTATTTAAATAAAAAAAAAAGACCTAAGGACCTCTGTGTACAGGATATATAAGAAGCAAATACGACCACTATGTAAAGAGTCTAACGACAATAGTTATAAACATTATAAAATTTTGTGCACTTACTACAAATTTTCCTATATGTGTATAGTTTGCAGAAGGGGTTTCTAAACTTATTTCGTCTACTGCCCACTTTGAAAATAAATTATTAATAGCGCCCCCATTTTTTCACCTACTTAAAACCACTATAACTTCAAATCAAGATAATTATCGTGAGCTAAATTAGCGGAGATTAAACACTCATTCTAATTGAGACTGGTACTGTACACAGCAAGTTTTAACTTGAGACCTGAGCGTAGTAGGTAATACTCAAGTCTCGTGTTAATTCTTCCCAAGCCTTACAAAACTCCCCCGTTATATATATATATATATATATATCTTGATTTTTAGATCAGTTAGATCTAAAAATCAGATTTCACGATAATTATCTTGATTTGAAGTTATAGTGGTTTTAAGTAGGTGAAAAAATGGGGGCGCTATTAATAATTTATTTTCAAAGTGGGCAGTAGACGAAATAAGTTTAGAAACCCCTTCTGCAAACTATACACATATAGGAAAATTTGTAGTAAGTGCACAAAATTTTATAATGTTTATAACTATTGTCGTTAGACTCTTTACATAGTGGTCGTATTTGCTTCTTATATATCCTGTACACAGAGGTCCTTAGGTCTTTTTTTTTTATTTAAATAGAACTAACTGATCTACAAACTAGAAACTGACACAATTAAATTCCACTAAAAAGTTTTTAAATGTAACAAAAAGCTGTTATCGTTAGATTCAATTATGTACGAAAGGCACTTTGTATCTTTGGTTCCGGCTGCATCTGCAGTCGTAAAACCGACCAATCCGCACTAGGCTGCGTTTATTTATTTATTCTTTATTGCCTAACTAAGGACAAATGGCGGACTTAATGCCATAGAGGCATTCTCTCCCAGTCAACCAGTTAGATTGTACAGAACAGTAATAGGCGGTAAAGATTATGTCCTATTCTTTGCGTTGTGTGTGTTATGACCTATTCTTCCTGAGTCTTCTATCCGTAAGGAAGGTCAGTAATATTTACCATAGGCATTCGGTATATAAAAACATATCTGGAGCCGATGTTAAGTTATATATGTACCATAATTCAAACCATATATCTGTTTTTGTCATATATTCACTTCAATATAATCCGTAAACGAATCACAAAAGACTTTATCGTCTATAATCTATTACATTTCGGATTGCGTTAACTTGATATTAGCACTATCTATTTCTAAGGCAAACAAATGTCTGTGGTGCAAAAGAAATCAAGCTCAACGGCACAATGTTACGAGGGCTCGAATCAGGCAAAATGACTGTTAGTTCTTTTTCGCAGTATCCCGGATACATTTTGACATTTAAAAATTTACAGTTTACTATAGGTACCAGAAACTGATGGCACAAAAGAAAGAAACCACATAGATTTTTATATGGCAATATAAATTATCTACAACTATATATATATTTAGTCTTATCTACCATATTGGCCTGCAGCGCCCACAAGGGGGCGCTATCGCACACTTTGGGAAATGCTGGTGAACAGTATATACATCGTATACACACGCAGCTACAAAATGTGTCACAATGCAGTGCAGTTTGCATTTTCCTCCACAGTAGTAAATAATATTTTACGGCTATCTTAACTGCTACTGGATAGTTTTGTATCAAGTTCGTAATAAATGCACGAATAACGTTGTAATTTTGTTAATAATATATGTGTTTTAGGTGTGCAATGTGGCCTTCAGTTACAAAGTGAACTTAAACAATCACGTGGCGAAAGTGCACGGCATTAATTTGAAGTTTAAGTCAATACATACGGTAACTGAAGAAGTGTTACGACAGGAGATGGGTATGGTGAACGAGACCCGTGTAGCTATATCGCACATAATGCCCGAGTTAGGAGAAGCTCCCACGCCTGGTGCTCACGAAACTGTGGCTATGAGTTCTGATTATGTTTAAATGATTTGACCATACCAACATTTAAGTATGTCGACATCTCGAGCTTACGGAGACGTAACAAACGACTAATTCACCAACTGTTAAGCAGTAAGTAAAAAGTTTTGTGCATAAAATTATGAACTTACAATGTAATTGAAAGATATTTGTATTCTATTTTCCGTGGGAACGTTGAATACGTTGGTTATGTTTAATTGTTTATGGAACTGAGAGTTGTACCATTTTTTTTCATATATAATGTTGGGTTGTACGTATCTTAATTCCGCGGCCAAAGATATATGATTTTGTTAGCCGATTTGAATAATAGTTTAAAAATAGAATTTATTTCGTGTAGATTGATTCTATAAACAAATCGAAACCGCAAATACGCAAGACATTGTAATTTTTTTTTTGTTTTTAGACGTTCCATTTGTTTAAATTCCAAAGAGAGAAAAAAATAGGAATCAAAAATATATTCCACTTGATGATTATTGAGTTTATTTATGTGTAGTGATTGTGTTATTGTGAATGCATGACAAAAAGGACTTCTGATTTACTACTCACATTATAAATAGAACGAGGAAGTCATTTTGTTTACATAATGACGGAGACATTTGTTATTTTTTGTGTTTATACTTTACATTAGATTATATTGTTGAAAAGAAATGGAAAATTGTGATGGTCATTTTTTCATATGTTTTTCAATACAAGATGTATAATATCATAATTGTTTTCTCTATGTAATAGTATGTTCACAGTATTTTATTATGTACAATGTTTTTGTTACATCTTACATGTTGGTATGTAGCTTATATGTGTGTATAATATAAGTAATTATTTTAAAATAAAATAAATTTTAAATAAGATTTTTTTTTATTACATAACTTATAGTTGCCCAGAATGGTTATAATAACGAATATGACTAGATGTCTAGTTCATTGAAATAATACATTCATCTTTAAATATCACTAATTTAATATAATTTTTACTTAAATATAGGTAGTTCCAAAATTAAACTAGAGTTGTTTGAGGTATTTCTGGTCTATAGGTTTGTTTGTGTTAGTTATTGTCTATGATATAATCTCTGATACACATGCATCCTATAGTGACAGATTGTTTATTTGCAATCCAACGATGTTTCAGGTCGTTCGGTATTTCTACGGGGGATATTTCCGATGCACTCGTCCTTCTTTTTAATATAGTCAACTGAAATAAAATTAAGAATGTTAGAATTTGTAAATTATAATATACTAGACTAGCTGTTTTCCCATAATTTCGCCCGTATAAATTATAACGTATGTCACCCACGTTCTATATAGCATTCTGTAGATGAAAAATATTTGTAAATCACTAGTTTTGGGGCATGTTCGATGCAAATAAACAATCGAATTTTTCTTCTTTATAATATTAGTATAAATAATTGTAGGTAAATTGCTTGTATGTTTTGTAATGGTGACAGTCATGGAACTGCTGAACTTTCAGATAAGAACTGAAATATACAGTTATAGGTTGGATTATACTCACTTCATATGTGTTAGGCTGACATTTCAGAGGTAGTCTACACATCTGGTTGCTACAATTTCGAACTTCCAAAAATCGAGGATAATAGTTCTCACCCAAATCAATTATATCTTTCTATAAAGGAAAAAAATATATTAGCTTTTCTGATGAAAAATATATTTTAAAAGTTTGCTTTAATCTAAAAATCGTAACTTACATTGTATTCGCAGCTACAAGGTGCATCTGGTATTGCTCGCTGTAAAAAATATAATGCAATATATATTAGTACATTAAAAAAAAAACAAATATTAATTTGATTACTATAGAGTTTAGTCTCACATGTTTTTTCACTTCTACATTGCCTCTTTTATGAGTTCTTGTTTCTACGGAATTATCCAATAGTATTATATCGTTTCTTATCATGTTTGCATAGTCCACAATGAGAGCTGGCAATTCTTCTTTATTTCCGTCCACGTCAGTAGCCTTAATTATGTACGGTTGGCCTATATCATCGACATTATCAAACAATTCGTTGTCCAAAGCCATCTTCTCCACATAATTTTGCCGTCTACGTGTCCTTTGTTCTCCTACCATGTACTCTTTTATGTCTGATGTTTTCTTTAAAGCAATAGCCTTTGGGATCATGGACTGCAGAAAAATAAAAAACCCACAGCACATAATGAAAGTGAAGAAAGATCTTGTTATCTGAAAAATATTTATTTTAAATGAAACACACAATAGTAACAATTCTATGTTTAGTTTAAAATTATCAAAATGACTTAGATAACAGAAATTAAAGTATTATAGTATACAGGAGTATACAATTATATTTCTTTAATTACACATGACTATGGAATAAAGTCAAAACAATGCCAAATTAAAGTAAGATTTTTTCAAGTTTAGAGAGTAGTACAATAGAATTGGAACTTATATCTGTTTTATTAAGAGAACATTTTTTTGTTGAGATGCCCAGCCCATACTGTCGAGAAATGGCATTTTTTATCGAGCACACGTAAGTGTGGCCCCTACGTGGGTCGTGATAAAGCGCGATAATTAGCGGCAATTTCGTTAGGTAGCAATTCTGTTAAGCTATAAAAAATTAAGTTATATTTTTAAATTATTTCTATTTTTTTACACATATATATACACACCTGTGATGTATCTATGTATTTTCCCTTATATACATAAATAAAGTAAAATAATATTACTGATCAAGTTTAATGAATATCAAGCTAGTTATTAATTAAAAATAGATAATTAAGTACCATACTTACCATGTCGGCAACTAGTATTTGCGGATTCTATAACATTACTAAGATGTTGACTATTTTCCGTCCTCTTTATATATCTTAATACCATGAGACTGATTGACGGGTCATAGAAAAGATCCATTAGTATGGAACACTAGTTATTTTTATGGGCATTGTTTGACTTTTACCATTATTAGGTGTGGTAAGCATTAGGGAACAATGCATGTCAACTCCTTACCTACGCTATGTTCAAAAGGATGAAGGGTAAGGTGAGTATTGTTTAATTAATTTGGTAATATAAAACCGACTGCAACGAAACGTAAATAAGGCGGGAAATAAATATATAATAAATAAAAAACGTTAATTGAATTCAGTAAAGTTATTTTGTAGTCTGCGGGGATTCTCAGCTTCTTTATATTCTTGTTTTTTGGTTTATTATTGTGATTAGTAGTCACCGTCCGACTAAAATAATAAACTGGGTTTTTTATCAATTTTATCCTAAGATAAACCTAAGAAGCAGTTATTTGACCCAAATACTAAACTAGTTCAGGTATATGCTAAAATTATTGCTTTTAAATGTTATTTTAATGAATAGTCATTCTTTCTGTAATTTAGTAATTTGTAAAAAATCTCAAATAACGAATAAATTTATAATAATAAATATCAGACAACATCACATACATTGCTGTCCCAAATTAGTACTTTTGTTATGGAAATCTGAAATAACAAAGATAACATAAACACCCAGACCTAAGACAATATAGAGAAATTCTTATTCTACATTTATTCGACCGGAACTCGATCCCTCAGACTCTAGCTACCGAACCCTTGAAACCGGCGTGCGAGTCACATTATTGCAATGTATAATTCCATAACATGTTAAAAAAAGTTAAATTTTAGAAGCCTTTCTTCTTATGTATTTTTGTACCTTTTTTATATTCATTGAAGAGCTTGTTCATTCATCGAATACATAACGATTTGCCAACTCTTTCATATAGTCTAAGATTTTCCCCAATCCCAGTGTGTTTACAAAAGTTTTTAAAACGGCTTCCGTATTCAAACAAATGTATTCGGTATTCATCAGATGTTTATTTTTAGGGATCCTTACTCAATCAGTAAAAACGGAATCCACTGTCGGAAGGGAATAATTACTAAGATTCCGATGTCCGTTTATCTCGCGAACTGTAAGAGCTAGTTAAAATTTACAACTGCTGCAGCTGTGTTTCTTTTTTTGTGTTTTTATTGATAATGTTATACTTACGGATCCCTTTGTCTGACTTACACTTGGCCGATTTTTAGGGTTCCGTAGATAACAACCCTTATAGTTTGCCACGTCCGTTCGTCCGCAGTTTAGGTAAAAAAATATTAGTATTGGAAAGTTGAAATTTGGCATGAGTAGGTATACAAGTTAATCGGTTCTACAAAGTGATAAAATAAAATTAAAATATTACACACTTAGTTGGCTTTACAAATTTAAAAATAATAGTCGAACAATTGTACCTATTCAACTGGAAAATTTTGAATAACTATAGAAAACAACACATGTGATTTTTTAACTTTTTTTTTATGAACAATGATGGCACGGAACCTTTCGTGCGCGAGTTATCTCTTAACGACCGCCGTAGCCGAGTGGTTCGCACGCCGGTTTCAAGGTGCCGCCATCTCTGAGGTCCGGGGTTCGATTCCCGATCGGGTTAACGTAGAAAATGTTTTTTTCTATATTATCTCGGGTCTGGGTGTTGTGTTACCTTCGTTGTCTCAGTTACTCCATAATACTCTAGCTTCAGCTACTCATCTTGGCATCTGAGCAATGTATGTGATGTTGTTTAATATTTATTATATTAATAATTTATTTATCAATTCGAGTCCTTTAAGTCGTGGTATTGTCGCTCGTTTTCGTAACACAAGAGTTTTAGTTGATCTGGACAGAGATTTATATAACTAAGTACATAACTGATTAGTCATTCCCTAGAAAAAGTTTGTACGTACGTGCTTAAAAAAGTTGCCTACAGTTTCGCATCACCGCTATATTATACTTACTTATATGGGAATATAAAGTCGTTATTTTTACGCAACTGTCGGAACAATTATGGTGTTGACGTAACGATGACACAGTTCTCCAAAAAATATATTGTTAGGGGGAAATTGTACATACTATACACGATGTTAAAAGTAAAACGTTTAATTTGATTTATTTGTAGGGCTTCATACTTAAAAAAGAGAAAATGAAAGCCTTACACGCTATTCGTTTTAATTAATTCATATTTTAGTCTATATGTGTACCTAGCCTTCTAAATACGTGTGCTAAATTTTGTAAGTGTATGTATGTTTGTTTCTTTCCGTATTTCTCGCAACTTGAACCTCAGATCAATGTTTCTTTTTTTTTGATTATTTAGCTTTCAACTTAGGGAAAACCACAAGTTTTAACTATTATAGATTAACTTAAAAAAAGCAAATAAAAACACGTAGGGGAAGTCCGGGAGACTTGAATCTCTTTTTACTTGAATTATCATATCTTCGTATAGATTTGTCAAAGACACTAGATTATAATTTTAATTCATGTGTAATTTATATAGACTTGTTTTTGCATCATTACCTACTTTTTAAATATTTCAATACTGTAAATTGCTAAGCCGATTTGAAGTAAAAATGGGAAATGGATCAACTCTCCCCACTATGAGGGACATATGATCAAAAGTCTGAGGAAACTCATTATCAGGGGTTTTAGTAATTTATTTTTATTTTTTTAGTATAATCTTTCTATTAGAGTCTTTTAGGTAGTTTTGCTTTCATATATTTATTAATTGGAATTGATACTTATCGTTATTCTCAAAAATTATAAAAACTATTCTAAATGTTATTTACCTTCTGTTAATTTGTTTTATTAACATTTATAATATCGAATTGAGTGCAAGTAGTATTATGGCAGAAGAATCATCACCACAGATGGTATAATTAACCACTGATGTCTTCAACAAAAACAGTGGTTCAACTCTCCCGCATATATCACTTTGATACAAAATTTTCATTGCAGAAAAGGTATTCAATTACTGTTAAAAAAAATTAACATACTACAAACTAGAATAATCAGCAAACACGATAAAAATAATACAATACTTACATCGATAAACATGGCCAGTATCTCAAAACTACTAATTATTTAAAATTTATTTTGTAGTGACCAAAACACTTCGCAACTTAAAAGCTCAACAAACCAGGCATTTTGTGCAATAGTGACACATACATTATTAGTCTACCATACATGATCTACGACTGTGTTAATGTTTCATTAGCTTGCAATTTGCGTTGAATTTTGAGAAGTGGTTCAACTCTCCCATCTGGGCAAGTCTCCCGGACTCCCCCTAAATAGTATAACCGACTTTAAAATAATTAAAAATTTCTATTGAACTAATACAAAACCAATGGAGCTCGTTGGCGCAGTGGTTAACACGTTCAGATTGCGATACAGTTGTTAAGGAACTTTCGCAATGGCCGTTTATAGGAAAGGTGACCAAAAATTTGGTATTTCGAACTTTAAGCCGTTGGTCCCGGCTGCATATAGTTGTTAATACCCACCTATCCTCGCTGGGCCCGCGTGGTGGGTCGTGGCCCATTTCCTTTACGAGTCCATCCATAGGGAAGGCCTGAGCTAATAGCTATCAAAATTCGAGATAATTTTGAATCTAGGTACTTTAAAAATTAATGCATTAAAATGAAGGCTTTTAATAGTTTGACTCGTAAATATAGAAATAAATGTAATTATTAATGTGTTCTTTTTATAATATTTTTCCGTAGTAGATAAAACGAAACGCAGCAAATCTTCATTGCGTCCGAATCGCTTTGAGGTAGTTAGCAAACCGTCATTTTTAGGTCCGAATCGCATTCTATTTAAAATTAATTACTAGCCTCCTAATTTTTATCCTGACTTAATTTCAATTAATTAATTTCCTGATATGAAATATGTAAAAAATAAGGTATGTTTTAAGATATATTACTAGATGCGTTAGTAAATTTTTAGGTCAAAATTGGACTTGATTTTTTTGTCGATAGAAAAAACTACAAAGTTATCCCTAAATAGAGTAATCGATAAATCAATGCATATGAACCGTTTGTAGAAGAGGTGCATCGCTTAATAATAATAATCGTAATAGTTTTTTCAATGCAGTTGCTCATAAAGCGCTATTTTTTTAATCCATTGTAAACACCGAAAGAGACTCTTTAAACACGTGTTAAATAAAAATGTACTGAAATCCTTTACTGCACACGTGCTTAAAAGTATTTTTTTATTTTTTTGGCGAATGAAATTAAAAAAAAAAATGATTAAAATATGTCAAACTTTACAGGCAAAAGTATTTCAAGGAGCTTAGAACGAATATTTTCAAATAAAAATGTATGACATGAAAACACATGTTCAAATATCACGTTTAATTTTAACAAATAATTTTTACCTTTAATACATACTTAGTTTTATTAACCTATATATTTGTTTTATTTCCTCGCAAAAAGCATTGAAAAATGTTGTAAGAAACTTGAGCGTTAAAGGTTTTTCGAATTCGTGCCAATGAAAACCCTCGCTACGCTCGTGTTTTCAATTTGGCCCTTATTCGTAAAACCTTACTTTCCGTATTTAAATAACTATTAATTCCCTAGTAAAAATAGTTTTCGATTTTAATTAGCCAACTTGTTTTCTTACCAAACCAATCGCATGGCGCCATCTTTATAGTATTGCTTATAGACAGGTCCGGAGCTACAACTTTTTCCAACCTGGGCAGAAAATTGATACTTTTCTCAATTCAGAAACCGGCCGTATGTCTATGATTTTTTACTGTATTATATTATGAAAACATGATATTTGGCGCCCGCCCGGGACCTACTTGCATATAATATAATATATACTTACACTTTATTTTGTCTTTACATAAACGCTATATTATGCATGAATAAAACATCTACTTAAAAACCTCATTTTCCAGTAAACGAAATTTCCTCATACAACATACGACAACGAAATATTTTTTCATGTCTCCTTATAGTGAAGAGTTTTTTTATTGCCTGCTGATTAAGTGTAGGTAAAAGATGTCTAAAACAGACTGTCATGCTTTTGCAATAGGATCTAACATCTAAGTAATGTAATGGAGGAAAGTTAAGTTTATATTTGGACTATCAGAATTAATGACGAATTAAGTCTTTCTTAGAATATTCTTAATACGTCACGAATAACATAAGATCTCTAAATATGGAATCTTAAATTTAACCCTGCCTCGCTATATTTACGTTACTTCAACAAATACGATTCCAAGAAGGTGTTCTTCTGACAAATTGGGCCAGAAAAAAAGTGCGATCGCTTTAGTGACCACAATACCAATATCTTCCACTAATTACTTAACTTATGATTCATATTGAAAATCAACAGTATTTTTTCCTACACTGTTTCAGACCAATGCAGGTGCGCAACTTGAAGGTCCTAGTAAATCGTATCTTTACCAATAAGATAATGATAAAACTATTTCTCGAAAGCGATACCTACCCGTCCCATAAACAGCGTGGGTGTTTATTCCCAGAAATGGCTCTTGTTACCATACTGCCTTTAGTTTTCTTCGGCAACCAGAATATAATTTAGTTAATATCTTTGTCAGCAATCAAACTTATTCAAAATATTTGAGAAATAGAATTTATAGGACCTTGTACTTAACATTTCTGGTCTACTGGTTAATTTGTAACGTTAGAGAGGTTACAGGGTCGCATACTCTAATCAAAACTAGAAACAACATAGTGTTTGAAAAAGTATCGAGTAAAAACGTCTTATTTTATTTTCCGAAGGTAGTTGGCGCTGAACAAATTCAAAGTCAAAAATTCAATTTAATCATTATGCTCGATTCTATTCACAATTGATAATTCATGTACAGCATGTCAGGCTGTACTACACTCAAATTTGTCCATTTGATTTTTAACCTTGATTCATTCGAGATAAAGTTCAAACTTAATTGAAAAATTTTGACATAAAATGACAGTGACTAGAAGCCGCATGTACTAACAAAACAAGTTGCGCAAACGTCCATTAAGGTTTAATGACGCGTTTTAGCTCTAATGAACTTATATGGATAATGTCGCTAGAAACTAATGAAAATTTTAATGGACATTTAAACGAGCAATCTCAGAAACGGCTCCACCGATTTTCTTAAAATTTAGTATACAAGGAGTGTTAAGGTTGGTAAACCGAACTGGTTAGGTTTTATTTATCAAAAAAATACCGAGAAAGCTTTGTGACTCAGGTACTTTAAAATAAAACGAATAAAGTATGTAACAAATTATAAAGGATCAAATTTTATTAATTAAAATCTATAGGGATATTTTTTGATTTTAATACTTTCACCGCTAATTCAAAAGCTAGCGCCCCCTGTGGTCCTTCGAACGGATTAAGGGGTTCTCCTTCTTTATCAATTCTCTGCACCTTAAGCATCAGATCTCGCATAAGTGCCCGTTCTCTCATCAGCACCTCTTCGTTCATAACGTATACAGCCCTTCGTTTTAGGAATACTCCATGTTTTTTAAAACAGTGCCGGTTGAAGTCATGTTTGTAGCTGTATGGTTGATTGCAGATCTGAAAAAAAAAATACATTAAATTAGTATAGCGAGAAAAAAATTGTGATTTAATTATACTACATTTTTTTGTAACTGTTAATATTGAAAGGATTGCCTTGTTTCGGTATGGTAAGAAGATCTTACACATTTATAAGTTTGAATCACTTTGTAGCCGAAGGAATTATGCAACACTTTAACAATATAGGTATTGAGTTAAAAACCATTTTTCCATTCTATTCGCCATCCTCAATACAATAAGTCTTTTGACTTTACTCCTCCTCGTAAACCTGTAGAATTCTGTTTAGTTCATAAGAATAAAGCTATATTTCAGTTAAATCTCTGTCGTCAGCGACAGCTATGCCTTATTTGGTCCACTGGTGAATTTTATATTTTCCATTTTGATATTTACATTAAAAATATTCACGGCAAGTGTAATATGGAAATACCTCGCATTTAAAAGGACGTTCGCCTGTGTGCACCCTAAGATGATGCCGCATGTTGCATTTGGTGAAAAACGTCATATTGCAGAAATCACACTTAATACATTTATTAGCCATACTATGAGTCAATCTGTGACGACGTAGAGAGTTTTTCTGCAATAGAAAATAAAAATATCTGCATTATGTTATATACTAATATTATAAACAGGAGATATGATTGTTTTATGTATCGAGGCTTCGAAATTACTGAATCTATTTCAAAAATTCTTTCACCTACGGAAAGCTACATCTAGGGTTACCAACCGTAATATGACATAGTATTGTACTATATTTTGGACCCGTGTTTTATATATATACTGTTGAAGAAATATATAGTACGCAAAAATACTATATTTTTAACACTAAAATTTTAATCTTTGCCAATGAAGGGGTCTAATAGGTTAAACCTTTGATTAATGCGACAGCTCGTTCTTGTCTGTCAAATCATCCTAAACGGGTGGTGAAAAAAGAAATGAGTGATCCAAAAGTGTAGTAAATAACTTATATTTTTATTTTCTATATTGCGCTGAAGAAATTTTGGCAACCCTAGCTACATAACACGCGGCTGACATAGGCTATAATTTACGCGAGCGAAGTAGTGGGAAAAAAGGCTAGTGTAACAATCTGAAAGGAGAATTTTAGTAAAGCCGAAAGCTGGTTTATTAATAGTTATGTTTAACTATTAATAAAAAAAAAAATTGAACTTACAAATATAGGTTTGCACTTTATGCCTTCAACGTCTCGTTTCCGTACTCTAAACCAAATGCTTATTTTGCGTGCAAAAATTGCTGTTTTATATCCTGGATGAAACTATAGTGTAATGAAGAAGGAAAGAAGCAAATTCATCTGTACCTAGACACTTTTATGCTTAAACATCAAACCCAACTCATATACTTTTTAATATCTGGTATAAACAAATAAATATTAAACAATATTGCATAGAAATTAGACATAAAACGCTTATCATATTATCGTTCAACATTTGTGCAGTGACCGAAGCGTATTGCGCTACGCTAGGGTGTGTCTGATGATGAGAGTGACGACTTACGGTTCTGCACCTTAGTCAAGGCCAAGAACTAACAGAATGACGTCTTAGATGTTGTTGTAAAACCACTATTAATTGTTTGAAAAAAAAAATGGGTTTTTCCTGCGAGAGTCGGCTCCGTTTGTTATGGTTAAAACTGTTGAGGAAACACTCAAAAGAAAATGTACCAGATTTGTCGGGGTCAAATACTGACTATAAATAATGTCAAGTACAGATAGATTGATATACTTTTTTTTTTAAATGTAAAATCAACTATTTGCAATTACAAGAAAAATATGATATTTTATGATAAAAATGATAAAAAATTTCATTGGATTTATCAGTTCATGTGACCAAAGCAATATTACCCTTGATGTGTTCTAAAACTAGCGGTTATGATTGAAATTATAGCGTATGTCACCCGCGTATGATTATAGAAAAGAAACAATTGTTTGCGATTAGCTAAATAATCAAAAATAAATTAAAAATTATTCTTACCCGTTTAAACGATTTGTTGCAGATGTCACAGATAATTTTTTTCTCATCCATGTGCATTACATAATGACTGAAAGAAATGGTTGACTGTTAATATTATTTGCATATTACTTATTATACATATGTGCAGTTTCTATTTGCTATGATTTATAAGCCAACAAGTTGCTGTATGGTACCTATAGAGATTTAATAGTTCTATGGTTTCATTACTTATTAGTTCAGTGAAATAAGTTCACTTAAGACTGCCATTGGGGGTGGGAACATATGGAAGATGGTTAGGTACGTCAGAAATTTATATTTAATTAGAAACATCCATACATAATTTTTTTTTTATATTAAGTAGTAATAAGTGGAATTACCTATTGATAATTACGTTCCTTTTTTTGTTACCAAAATAGAAATAAAAACTTTTCTCTTTCTAAATACACTGGACGTTTTGTTTTGTTCATAATTAATTTTGCATATGTTCATGCACTGTTTTTTTTAGATACCTACTTACCTTTTTAACGACCCCTTTGTGGTGAAAGCTGCTACACATTTGTCACATTTAAATATTTTCTCTGCATTATGTAACATTTGATGCCTCATTAAATTGCCATTAGTAAAAAAATCTTTGGAGCAAATATTACACTTATATGATTTTTTACCTACAATGCAAGAAATGTATTTTAATGGTTTTATGAACCAATTGTGTGAATTTTACTCTTATTAGACATTTAATATATTACGAGAAAAGAGGTGTTGTCAATAAATGCATAGATTAATAAGAATAAAGAGCAATAATATATTTTTAAGTAAAACCTTTTTTACTTGCAGCTTCCCTATTAGCGCATGTTAGTTTAAAATTATAGCATTGGATTGTCAAGTTGAAATAGCAGTGGGTGGACTAGTCATATCTATCGACGAACTACCCATTGGAGTAAGCGACTTCTAGTGTGGAGACCGCCAGCTGACACCTAACATAATGTATGACAACCTCTTACAACATGGTGTGATGGATGATTAAGGGAGGTTGCAGGTACAAATTGGACAGAGTTGCACAAAACAGGGAAAAATGGACAGCATTAGGGGAGGCCTATGTCCAGAAGTAGACAGCTGTAGACTGATGATGAGAGTCTACATCATGCCTTCAAATCGAAAGTTTTTTATTTACATAATAAAATAATGTGTTATCCAAATGTGATAAAAAAGAATCTCTATGTATTCATATCATGATGTTGTTGTTATATATAGACAGAACTATACAAATATGTGTATATTTTTACATTATATTTAGAGGTGATGTGGCTTAGGAGCTATGTTTGTGGGGCTTTTGTTAAAAATTGTTTTTAAATAGAGTGTTCCAGCTTATCTGAGTATGTCTGCTCAATTCTTTAAATCAATTGAAATACCTGTATGAATCAACAGATGTGATTTTATGGATTTTGTCATTTTTCCACAATAATTACACATTTGTAATTTGCCATCCTTTTTCCTTGCTTTCTGTATTTTATCATTTTTTGTAGGCAGCACCTGAATATCATTCAAAAATACAGGTTTGATGAGAAGTTTAGTTTTCTCTTGTTTCTCAGTTTTAATTTTAATTTTTACTGTAAAAAAATTCATTAATGTAAAAAATTTAATAATATACAGCACTACTGTTATCATAAAATGACAAATTTTCATAAAATACTTTGAACTTATTTGTTGATATGTTAAGGTTTATAAAGTAATTGTTTGGAAAAGTTGATAAATTTGTAACACCTACAATAAGATTATTCTTATCACTATTTAGTTGGTATCAAATAAAATTGATCTTAAAAATAAAAGTCCTGAATATTTCTTTTTTCCCACAAGTTATTAATATCTGGATTAAATACATATTCAAGTTTTAGTTTCAAGTTACCTGCTTTTGTGGCATTCTTGAGTTTTCTTTTCTTCAATTTTGTTTTTCTTTTAGTTTGATGAGGTTTTAGTTTAATATCTTCATTGTGTTCACCTTCAGATTGTAGGATGTAATCAGAATCAACACCAAAGTTCTGAAAATATATTTTAAATATGATGAACTAAAAACTTTTTGATGGTCTGACAGTGGTGCCAATTCTATTGGACCAGATTAAAATAAAATAACAACAATTATTAAGTCTACGCAACAGAAAGGCTACAAGTATTACTTAAATGCACACAAGAAATAAAATAAATTACATCATAGTCAGGTTCAGAATCAGCCTTAATATTTTTCAAAAAATCTATAACTGACATTGGTTCTTCATTTTTTACAGCTATATCATCAACCTCAATTTTCCTTATGATTGTATTATAATAACATATTGAAGTTTCTCCATCCTTGAAAAAAATATCCTTTCCACTTTCTAACTTGGAGGTAATATTGTTAACAGTTATTTCAATTTTTGCTTTAATGTCATTCAAATTTCCAAAACATATTTTTTTCAGTCCTATGGAATTTTGAAGTAGTTCAGCAGAACTGAAACAATGCACATAATTTAAAATTAGATCAATACTTTTTTCCAAGTAGTGTAAATCATCCATTGATTACAACATTAAAAGATTTGGTACTCTACTGACCTTTCTATCTGAGTTTTTAAATTATATGCATCAACAAGTTTCTGAGAGCATAACTTACATATTTTTTCAGAGATTTTAGCATTTTTAATAATCTGAAAAAGTAACAAAAGGATACTTATGGATTATGGAGACTCCCTTCGCCTTTCAAAATGAAATTCAAAACATTGACAGGTAATACCTATACAAAGACCACTTTGAATTTTAAGACTGATAAGTGTTTTAATAACTTATATTTTACATGTGTTTAGTGGTAAAGTGTATGAGCTTGGATAATGCGCTGGAATCCTGTTGTACCTTTATATTTGCAAGAGAAGACATCATATTGGCAAATGTATTCCCATTAATATAGTCGAAAATGGATCGAGAGTTTCTATTATGTGACAAGCATATACGGCACATGGACATGATGGATTAGGTTAAAGTTAGGTGAGGTGGATAGTTTGCAAATTGTAAAATAAAATATTTTATTTTTGTAGGAATCCAAAGTACAAAAACACAACATAGTTATTTGACATTGACACTTAGGCATGCATGTAAAAACTACCGTTTGTCTTGCAGATAATCGATATATTTGTTCGATATATCGTTTTTTGCAAGGATAAAAGCCTCATTACACATTAATTACATAGTTCGTTAATTTAAAAAAAAAAGCAAATTTAGTACTTTTTCTAAAGATTATTGCACTATAACTACCATAAGCTATACTAGTATCTCATATATTACATATTACAGATATGATAATCTATGCTATGGTAGGTACCAGAATCAGAGTGGTAAGTGTAAGTTTTACGATAACGCGTTCACTAGTGAGCGCGTTAAGAATTTGTATGGAGATTTGTACTTCTTGGTAGTTACTGCTAGGGGCGCTGTACCGGATTCCATACTAAAATCTTAACGCGCTCACGATCGACAGTGAACGTAAACGTCAATAAAACTTACACTAAGCGCTTTGATGACCAATCGAGAAATTTTAAATTTGTATAAGGCATCATTGGGGAAAAAGAATAAAGACGTCTTGATACTTGTAATATATTTATATAATGAAAACTTTTTTATAACTGCCTCATAGCATTGAACATACTCCTGACCAAATTCCAATTACGGCAAATTTTGACATAGGTTAGCCTGCGTGGGACATAATATAATACAAAAACATTAATAATATATAATTATATATTGAGAGCACCCGACCCGACAGAAAAATCCAATAATACTTTACCTGTCCTGAAAGCTTTATGAATATTTACTGTGCATATTATATATTTGTCTACTCATATTTCAATAAGCTTACACATCTAAATCAAATCCGCTTTCATTTATTATCTTCATTTCGCATTTCTTATTTTTCTTCGGCATACCAAAGTGTCTTCATTAGTTCTAGTTGACTAATTTTTCTAATAATTCGTTTTACTGTTGTAGTCGATACATCAACGAATATTTATTAATTAATTCTTTGGAAAAAAAGTATCAAAATTAGTTATTGCTAGTTACCGGTCAATATATAAACACAAAAAATATAGCTTTTTTCACTAAAGCTATAAATATTTATCGCCTGAGATATTAATGTCTTTTTGGGAATTTTTACAAAATATATATTAATATATTCAAAAAAGTTTTTATTTTGACTTGACTGTTGTCAACAGCTGACAATTTATATTGCCATATGAAAATCTGTATTTATTCTTTTTATTTTGTGCCATCAGATTCCGGTACACCTATGCTATCTGAGTTAGGGTCCAATTTATAGGGTAGTGTAGCTTCATACTGATTATGGGACACGCCCACCCAATCGATCGGGCCCAATCGAAAGTGAAATAAGACTTTTTAATGCGATATATCGATATCAATTAACCAATATCCAAAATAATATCTTTTCGTTTATATGTACTTACATTGATTTTAAACAATATTCTGATAATTTAAATAATTTATATCGAGATTCACTATTGACCTTTTAATAGAGTATTTTAGTAGATAATCATTGTGCGCTCTTCGCTCTCTTATCTGAAAAACGGTTAAGTGTGGTGATTTAACTGGGCTATATTATTTGAAAAAACGTAAATATTCTCTGAAAATTTAACCAATACATAGATAATGTTCGTCTCGAATATCAAGATCAATATTTATATTTTTATTAATATCATCATCATCATCATCAGCCCGTATTCGTCCGCTGCTGGACATAGGCCTCCCCAAAAGGCACGCCATCTAGTTCGATCCTCGGCTGTTCGCATCCAGCTCCTGCCAGCCATCTTGCGCAAATCATTGCTCCATCATGCCTGAGGACGTCCTACACTACGTTTGCCGAGACGCGGTCTCCACTCAAGAACTCGTATACCCCAACGGTTATCGGTTCTGCGGCTAATATGGCCAGCCCACTGCCACTTCAGCTTGCTAATCCGGTGTATATCGATAACCTTGGTTCTCTGCCGGGTCACCTCATTTTTGATACGATCCCGCAGAGAAACGCCGAGCATAGTCCTTTCCATAGTCCGCTGAGCGACCTTCAACTTGTGGACCAGCCGTGCCGTCAGTGTCCACGTTTCGGCTCCGTATGTAATAACGGGTAGGACGCACTGATTAAAGACTTTCGTCTTTAGGCACTGTGGGATCGACGATGTGAAGACCCGATGTAGTTTCCCAAACGCTGCCCAAGTTGTTTCTACCTAACTGCAATGTTTGCCCGAGGTATACATATTTTGGAACAATTCCGAGAATGGCGCCGCATACTGCAATCGGTTCCGGTAGTACGTGGTCGTTGAACATGACCTTGGTTTTATCCAAGTTCATTCGTAGGCCGATGCGCATAGAAGAGTCAGCCAGGTCATTCAGCATCTGTTGTAGGTCATATTAAACATATCTTCCATTGCATTAGTAAACAATTTCGGAGATATAACGTCTCCTTGTCTCACTCCTCGATGCAACGGTATAGGACTTGTCTGCTGATTCTGTACTTGGATGGTCATGGTGGCGGCCTCATAAATACATCTCATCACTTGGATGTATCGTCAATCGACTTGGCATCGCTGCAGGGACTCTAGAACGGACTAGATCTCAATTGAGTCAAAGGCCTTCTCATAGTCCACAAATGCTAGACACAGGGACTGATTATACTCTTCAGTCTTCTGTATAATCTGCCGGACTGTGTGGATGTGGTCTATGGTGCCGTATCCACTCCGAAACCCAGCCTGCTCCGGTGGTTGGAATTCGTCAAGACTTTGCGCAAGACGGTTCGTGACTACTCTAGAAAACAGCTTATAGACGTGGCTTAGAAGGGAAATGGGTCGATAGTTCTTCAGCAGGGTTTTGTCTCCCTTTTTGAAGAACAGGACGACTACACTTCTACTCCACGCCTGCGGAGTTCTCCCTTCGAAGAGGACAGCATTAAAAAGCTTTTGGAGCTCCTTCGGTACCGGTTTACCTCCTGCTTTTAATAATTCAGTTGTAATGCCATCCTCTCCAGGGGCTTTTCTATTTTTAAGCCGTCTCAGAGCGATCTCGATTTCGCCAATGCTGACTTCTGGCAGATTTTCGGTGTAGTGGCGTGTTAATGTAGCTCTAGAATCCTCATTTTCGGGATCAGGTCGAGGTGCATGCGAAGTGTATAACCGGGCATAGAAATTTTCCACCTCTGAAAAGACCGCCGGCTTCGAAGTAACGACTTCCCCACTTGCTGGTGGCTTCTTCCAAGAGATTGTACGAATACTTTTTTGCTCCCCCCCTGTTTTGCTCGATCGCTCTTTCTACAGCGTGAGGTTTGGAGCACCGGAGGTCATGTCGTACGCGTTTGCTGATCTCCTGGTTTTGAGCACGTTTTCCTGACGAAGTGACAGGTGGGTTTTCACGTCGTTCCTTCATAAGTCCCCCAAAGTTCTATCCGAAAGCTTAGACTTCCTGCCCTTACGCTTCATGTTACAAAATTTCGTACCTTCTTCCCTGAGTATTCGAACCACATTTTCAAGGTTCTCGTCAACGTCAATTGTGGTTTCCAGGGCAGCGGATCGGTTCTCAAGATTTGACTGGAACGTTTCAGATTCCATCATGGTTTGGAGTGGAGTATCATAAAGCGGACACGTTCAGCTTTGAAGTCGATATTCAGAGAGCCTCGGACAAGTCGGTGATCGCTGCCATCTCTGAATATGTGTTTTTTGTCCGTTATGATGAAGTCGATCTCATTTTTTGTCATATTGTCGGGGCTTTGCCATGTCCACTTCCTTTGAGGCTGTTTCTTAAAAAACGTTCGAGGCGTTCCCTCCCGTTCGAGGAAGTTAACGAGCATTTGCCCCTATCATTCCTGCTTCCAAATCTATGGGATCCTACTACCGATTCGCCGCAATTTTGTACTCCCACTTTAGCGTTAAAGTCCCCCATAACAACGCTGTAGTGGGTCTTAGTAGTGAAGCGGAGTGCCCTCGATATATCATCGTACATATTCTCCACATCATCGTCCGAGTGTGTCGAGGTCGGTGCGTACACTTGAACAACCTTGAGGCTATACCTCTCAGTGAGCTTTACAATCATGTACGCTATCATGTTCGACACACTGGAAATTTCTGCAACGTTGTCAGAAAGGGACTTATTGACAAGAAACCCAACGCCATCTTGGGATTGTTGGTCTCCCTCGCGGAAGTAAATTAGGTGGTGGTTATGGTGTCCTCCCCTTCTCTTCGGACTTCACACAATCCCAATATGTGCCACCTAATCTTTCCAAGCTCCACCTCAAGTTGCGCCTGATGCGAGTCAAGCCGTAGCGTGCGTCCGTTGTACGTCGCCATGGTCAGTCGGATGTCGTGGCCTCCCTTAGCCCGGAGATTCTTAGCACCCCCCGTTACCATGGTCGCCACCATGACCAGGAATAGCGAGGCCGCCGGGAACTAGGGGCCGTGGCCTTTTGTGCTTACGCATTTGGGGGATATGCCCATAATCGCCACGCTAGGCAAGCGGGTTGGCGATCGCAGTATGGTCCGGTTCTGTGGCCCGCACAAGAAGACGCTGCTGCCCATCTCCTTGGGATAAATTTCCCTTAGTCGCCTCTTACGACACCCACGGGATGAAAAGGGATAGTACAATTCTATACCGGTACTACACGGCTCTCGGCTTTATTAATATCTTTAGGTCAATATTTTTCTTTTAATGAGGAAGTATTAAAAAATAGAATGCACTTAAAAAGCACCTCACTAGATGGCGACCCTACCAAAAGTAGATTTTTTCAGGAAACGAATGGACTTAAGATAGTAATTTCCATTCCTTTTAACTAATTTATTAAAAACTGAAATGTTTCGAACCTACCAAAAGTTGATTTTTGCAGGAAACGAATGGACTAAATATAGTAATTTCCATTATTCTTAACTAATATGTTAAAAACTGAAACTTCGACGGATCAAAAACCTATCAAATGGAATAGA